GTTGACGGGGCGCCCTCCGTAGCGCTTGGAGATGTCGGCCTCGATCTGCAACGACACACCAGGGGGCTCAGGGCGGGCTGGGGGCGAACAGGGGGGTCCTGAGGGGCTCCCCCCTCCTCCCTCACCAGCTTCTGGAGCTCCTTGGTCTTCTCCATCAGCCGGTCCAGCTTGGGCTCCAGGGCCGCCTGCTCTGCCAGGGCCTCCCGGCGCTTCTGGGCCATCACCTCCTTCTTGGCCAGGAGCAGCTCCGCCTGCTTCAGCTTCTGCCTCAGCAGCTCCGACACCCGCTCCACGTACCTGGGGGGCACAGCCAGCACTCAGCCCCCTGGGCACCCTGGGGACACTCCCAGCCCCCTGGGGACACCCCAGGGACACCCCCAGTCCCCCCAGACACCCTGGGGACACCCCCAGCCCGGCACACCTCTAGATCCACTCCAGTGCCATCCCCACCTCGGGACACCTCCCCTTCCTCCTCCAATCCCCCCCCAGCCCCCGTCCCCAGGCGGGGGTACCTGGGCGAGGCGAGGATCATGCAGAGGTGCTGGACGCTGCGGGAGCAGAGCTGTGCCAGCAGGTCCCGGGCCGTGCCCAGCAGGGCACCCACGTGGGCGCTGGTCTGGCCCTGCAGCAGGGCCGGGGCCAGCTGGAGCTGGCTCATGGCCACGATGTCGGCCTCGTCCTCCATCTCCGCCAGGCGCTGGGCCAGGAACAGCTCCAGCTGTGGGAACGGGATCGCTGCGGGGCCAGCCCTGCTGCATCCACCCCACACCCACCTCCAGCCCTGCCCCAACCCCACTGCCACCCCACACCCACCTCCATGGGCCCATTCCACCCCACACCCACCTCCATGAGCCCATGCCACCCCACACCCACCTCCATGGGCCCATTCCACCCCACACCCACCTCCATGAGCTCGTCGATGAACTGGTTCCGTGTCTCCGGGTATTCCAGCACTGTCAGGGCGTCAGAGCCACGGGCAACGCCCTCCTCGGGCACTGGGGGGCAAGGGGGGCTGGGATGAGACCCCCATGGCTCGGTTTGGTCCCAATTCCCCCCCATCTCAGCCCCACCCCACAGGGGGCTCAGGACCCGCCCCGTCCCTGCCCACCCAGCACCCAAAGGCCCCGTCCAGCTCCACGTCCTGCCCTCTGCTCCATCCCCAAAGCCCTCTGTGCACCCCCAGGGGCACTGGGCGGGGGGCACAAGGTGTGGTGGGCACTGCCTGGCCCCCTCTGTGCACCCCCCAGCCCTGCTCACCCTCAGCTCCAGCCTCCAGCACCGTGATCTGCACCTGCTCGTCCCCTCCGTCCCCCCAGTCAATGCCACCCTCCTGCAGGGACACAAAGGTGACCTGGGAGGGGGGCCAGGACGCCCCAAGGCCCCCGGAGCAGGGCAGTGCCACCCGGGGATGGGGTCACACACCTGAGGACCGGGCTCCACCGTGATCCCCCAGTCGATCTCCTCGCCCCCCTCGGCAGCTCCTCCGTCCCCTCCCGGGGGGGAATCCAGCGGGAAATCCCCCCAGTCAATCTGTGGGAAGGACCCCGCTGAAACCCGGAACAGCTGGGCCCCAGTGAGGCCCCACAGAGGAGTTTGGGGGTGGGGGAAGGGGGTCCCCCCAGAAAGGCCTCACCGTGTCCTCCCGGGGCGGCTCCGGGGGCTCCTCCCGCAGCTCCGGCCGCTCCACCCGGCGCGGCTCCCGGCCCGTGCGCCACTCGTGCACCGTGCAGTTCCCACGGGCACACACGTGGCTCAGGAGCGGCACCACCGCCTCCCCGGGGCTGGGACACCATGGGGGGGTCAGGGGGGATCATCCTGAGGCACCACCTCCCCGGCCGACGGGGTCAGGGGGATCATCCTGAGGCACCACCCCCTCCCCGGGGCTGGGGACACCAAGGGGACAGGGGGGATCATCCTGAGGCACCACCCCCTCCCCGGGGCTGGGACACCATGGGGGGATCATCCTGAGGCACCACCCCCTCCCCGGGGCTGGGGACACCATGGGGGGATCATCCTGAGGCACCACCGCCTCCCCGGGGCTGGGGACCCTCAAGGGTTTGTCCCCGGGGGTCTGTCCCCCTGTCCCTGTGCCCACCTGTCACACACGAAGCCCACGCAGGCCCGGTACAGCTCGATGGCCTCCGCCAGGCCCCCCACGGCGGCGCCCACGCGGGACAGCAGCGAGGGCAGGTCCTGCACCAGGGCCAGCAGCTCCTGCCGCACGTTGTCACCCTGGGGCGCCGGGGCACGGGTCAGCTGGGGACAGCACCCCTCGGGGGGCTTCACCCTCTGCTCACAGGGACACAGCGGGGTGTGGGGACACCACGGGGACACTGCTCCCAGTCTGAGCCCCCCCAGCACAGATATGGGGGTGGGGGCTGGTTTGGGATGGGAGGGGCCTGTTCTGGGCGGTGGGGGGCTGTTTGCAGGGTTTGGGGGCTGTTTTTTGGGAGGTGGGAGCTGTTTTGGGGGAGATGGGGTTGTTTAGGAGGGTTTGGGGCTCTTTTGGGGTGGGAGCTATTTTTGAAGGGTTTGGGGGCTGTTTGGGGTGGGTCAGGGGCTGTTTGGGGTGGGTCAGGGGCTGTTTGGGGGTGGGTTAGGGGCTGTTTTCGGGGCTCTCAGCCCCCCAGGCACTCACAGTGATTCCATACTGTTTGCAGGAGGCCAGGAATCGCTCCCTGAGCTCGGCTGCTCCCACCTGACACTCCTCTTCCCGCCGGGAAAAGTCCTGCTGGGCCTGCTGGCACCTCCCGAGCTGCCTCCGCAGGGAGGGGATCTCGTAGCTGATGCTGCGCCCCAGGAGGCTGGACAGCTCGGCTGGGGGCACCCGGGGGTGGGGGTCACCCTGGGGGCCTGGGGCGTCCCACACCCCTCAGGGCTCCCATCCCGCTGGGATTTGGCATTCCAGCACGTCCTGTCCTTCCCCCATCCCGGTTTGGAGAGCACCCCCACCCCCAACACCCACCACGGCTCCCCAGGACCCCCAGAGCCCCAGGCCCCAGTCCCCTGCCTTACCCAGATAGGTGTTCTCCTTCTCATAGAGGGCCACGATCTCCTGCCAGTCCTGGGGGCAGGAAGGAGGAAAAGGAGGAAAAGGAGGAGGAGGAGGGTGAGGAGGAGGGGGGTGAGGAGGAGGAGGAGGGGGGTGAGGAAGGCTGAGCCCCCCCTGCCCTGGTCTCACCTTCATCCTCTGGGACGAGTAACGGCCAAAGAGGTTCTTGGTGGAGGCCTCGGTGCCCTTGAGGATCTCCACGATCCTCAGGCAGTGAAAGTAGTGCAGGTCTGGGGGAGGGAGGGTGGGATCACCCCAGGGAGTCTGGGGGTGTGTCACCCCCTCCCAGCTCAGACCCAGGGCCACCAATTCCCATCTCCTGGCTCAGGGGACACCAAACCACCCCCAAAGCCCTGGGAAGGGGCTCCCAGCCCGTCTCCCGGCTCTCCCGAGGGGTCCAGCCCCCTGCTGCCACTCACAGGATCCCTCCAGGAGCTGTTTGATCTCCTGGTTCTCGGGCATGTCCCGGATGGCCAGGTCGATCCTCTGCCGGATGAGCTGCACCTGGCTCTGCCACCTCAGGCTGCAGTGGCGCCTGTCCACGAGCCAGTCTGGGGACAGGGGCACAGCAAGGCGGGGATGAATTCCCAGCTCCTTCCCAGGCGTGGAGGTGAAAGGGAGGGGCCGAACACCGGGGTGAATCCCCCGCTGCCCTCCCCAGCTCCGGGGGGCACATCTCGGGAGTCCCCAAACCCCGGGATGACCCCCCCGCGCCGTACCCAGGAGTTTGCTGGTCTGGATGTCGATGGGCACGTTCCGGTAGTCCTGGGGAGGGGCCTGCGGGGGGGACACGGCGGGAGCGGGGCTGGAGGGGCCCGACCGGCACCGGGATCGGCACCGGGATCGGCACCGGGAGCGGCACCGGGAGCGGGGCCAGAGGGGGCACCCCCCGCTCCAGGGCCCGGGCACGGCCCGTCCCCGCTGCCCCGGGCCTGGGGCCCTGCCCCGCTCCCCGAAGGCGGCCCTGGCCCCGCTCCCGGCCCCTTTCCCGTTCCCATCCCGCTCCCGGCCCGATCCCGCACCTCCATGTCGCCATCAGCGCCACTTCCGCCTCGCCCCGCCCCAGCCAATCCCCGGCCTCGGCGCCCGCGCCTCTACCAATCAAAGCGCGTTCTCTGCGAAGGGCCCGCCTTCCCACCAATCAGAAGGAGGCGCCCCGGCGGGAGCGCCACGTGCAGGCGTCGCGATTGGCTGGAGCGGGGAAGGGGCGGGGCCAATGGGGCGGGGATCCCGATCCCGGTCCCGATCCCGGTCCCGATCCGATCCCGGTCCCGGTCCCGGAGGAGCCGCAGACAGAGCCGGGAATCCCCCAGGGAGCCCCCACAGCCGCCCTTCACGGTCCGTGCGCGGCTCCCAAGCACACCCCAGACCCAGGAGGGGTCCCCAGTTTTCCCCAGAGCTGATCCCGGATCCTTCGGGGATCCCTTGGGAAGCACTGGATGCCCCAGCACAGGACCAAGATCCCCTTGAGATCCCCAGGAGCCAGGGCAGAGCCCAGTGCTGGGGATCTCTGGTGAGCTGTTCTAGAGCAGATCCCAGATCCCTCAGGGACCACTGGATGTCCCAACAAGGGACCCGGGATCAGCTCTAACTCCTCCCCACGGATCCACGAGGGATCTGGGACCAGTTCCAGATTCTCCACAGGGATCCAGAAGGGACCTGGGATCAGTTCTATCCCCCCCTCAAGGGGTCTCAAAGGACCTGGGCTGCCCGACCCCCTCCGTGTGCCGCTCACCGGGGCCACCGGGGCGGCGACACCGGAGCCCCCACGGCCAGCCCGGTGCGGTGGCGGCCACCCAGAGCCACCCGGAGCCACCCGGGGCCACCCGGGGCCACCCCAGGCCACCCAGGGCCACCCGGGCGGCGCTGGCACCGCTCCCCGTCATGAATATTCAGCCGTGCCTGGCCCGGCCCCGCTGTTTGCTCCGGCGGGAGGGGTTTGGGCGCGGGTTCACCTTGACGGGAACACCGGGACGGCGGCAGGTGAGCGGCACCTGCCCGGGACCGCCGGCCGGGACCCCCCGGGACACCCCCGGGACCCCCGTGGAGGGGGGTGGGAGCAGCAGGTACAGGACGGGGTGTCCGAGGTGGGGACGGGATGTGAGAACCCCGGGGACACTCCGGGGACAGCAGGCGGGGTTGGTCCCACCTGGCTCTGGCACAGGGGGTCCGTGGGGGGACACGGGGGCCACCACCCCGCTGGTGGCCCTGATTTTGGTGACCTCGTCGTCATTTCCAGCGTGGACAAGGGGGTTATCCCCCCGAATTGATGCCAGGGGGTGAGCCCGGGGAGGGGCCGGGCAGGGGGCGGTGGTGGCCCAGCCCCACGCGTGGGGGGACACGGAGCTGCGCCGACCCCCGGGACGGACACAGAGCGCCGGGAATCCCGTCCCTGTCCCTGCCCGCGGCCAGGGAAGCCTTTGGCTCCTCCACCTTCCTGGGTTCCTGCCCTGGAGCTACGCGCGGCTCCCAGAGCCTTCCTGGATCGCTGGAGCCTTCCTGGAGCGTTCCCGGAACATTCCCAAGCTCTTCCAGCGCTCCTGCCCGTCCCCTCTAGCGAGAGGCAACCCCAACCCCGGGGGGTGACCCCGGCCCCTCCCCAGCTCCCACCTGCTCCCAGTTCCTGTTCCTGTTTGCTCTCTGGGCTCCCTCCCTGCCCCGCTACACGTGGCTCACAAGGCACCTCCCGGGCGCTGCCAGCGGCCTTTTCCCGGCGCTCCGGAATTCCCAAGCCATGGAGCATCCCCTCCTGGTACCCGCGGGGTGCTCCCCCATCCCCGATCCCACACAGATCCCCCCGGGGAAGCACCTCAAGCAAAGCCGGCACCGGCTTCCATCCCTCTGGAATCACATCCCGGGGGGTCCAAGGAACCCCCCCGAATTCCCGTTCCAGGATGGCCGACAGCCACGGCTGGTGGAAGCTGACGTTCCTGAGGAAGCGCCAGGCAGCGCCCACCGTGCTCTACGAGACCCCCGACGGCCCCGCGGCCCCCGGCGGGGACCCCCAGGAGGGCACCGGCCCCGAGGGACCCCCCGGCTTCGCCGCCCGCCTGGAGAAGATCGTGGACAAGAGCACCAAGGGGAAGCACGTCAAGGTCTCCCACTCGGGGCGCTTCAAGGAGAAGAAGAAAGTGAGGGCCACGCTGGCGGAGCACCCGAACCTCTGCGGGGCTGCCGAGAAGGAGGAGAAGTGACCCGGCGGGGATGGCACCCGCCCGCCGCCCCGGGAATGCCGATCCCGGCAGGAGGCAGGACTCGGGATGGGGTTTGTCCCAGGGATGGATAATCACGGACCGTGGATGGCTGAGCCCGACCCTCCCAGGCTGACTGGCTCGTCCTGGGATGAGGACACTCCTCCAAAGCCCCCCCAGCTCTGCCCCCAGCGCATTCCCAATCCCGAGCCCCCCCTCGTCCCCCAGTCCCCGGGGGCTGCGTGGCAGAGCCACCCGCGCCGTGACCTGGCCAAGTCACCCCCAAAACGCGGGATGTGACACTTCCCTGCCTCCACGGCGGGCTCCGGGGGGAGCCGCGTTCCTCAGGGAATCGCTCCCTGCTGCTGGAAGGGGGGAGCCGACCCCGGGGGGCTCCCGGGGGTTGCTGGGGGCGTTGGGAGCTCCGGTACCTGCTGCTAATTAAGTGCTGTTAATAAACCAGGGAGAGCTCAGCACATCCCCGGGCCCGGCCTGGCAGGGTGGGAGGGCTCGGGATCCCTGCAGGACCCCCGTGGGAGCGGAGCCATCCCGGGGAATCCCTGACCCCGTGGAGCAGGGACACGGGGGGGTGCCCGGGGTGCCCTCCCTGCCCCGCAGGGCGCGGCTGTGCCCGAACTCCGCAGGCTCCAAGCTCTGACAAAAGCCCGGAGGGTGCCAAGTTCCCGATTCCCGGCACGGGGGCAGTGCCAGGGCCACCCCCTCGGCAGTGTTTGCTCTCCACCTGCTCTTTGTCCCGGGAAGGGAGGGACGAGGCAGAGGAGGGAGGAGCCCGTGGGATCGTTAACGCCCATCCCGAGGGGAGCCTGGGCTCGGGTCCTGCTCCTCCTGCCGGGAATTTGGAGGTCTCCAGAACCTTTGAAGGGGTTTTTTTGGGGGGGAGTGGAGGGTTTGAGGTCCTTCAGGTTTGGGGTTTTGGGGCTCCTTAGGGTGGTTTGAAGATCTCCAGATGATTTTTAAGGGTGATCTGAGATTCTCCAGGGACTATTCTGAGGGGTTTGGGGGCTATTTAGGGGTGGTTTGATGTTCTCCAGCTCCATTTTGGGCTGGGTTTAGTGGTTTTTACCCCATTTTGGGGTCCCTGACCCCTCTTTTCCCAGTGATACCCACATGGGGGAGCGACACCTCTTGGCACGATCCAGAGGCTGGGATGGCAAACACGGAGCAGGGAAGGTTATCAGGGACTGGTTTCCCTGGGATGTGACCTAGGGCCGGCATTCCCGGCTGTTCCAGGAGAGCCCGGCCCCGTGTGGGTAAAAATTAACCCAAAACCTCCGGGACATCCGGCTGTCATTTTTCCAAGCTCAGCTGGAGGAGGGGACAGGGCGAGGGTTGTGGAGGATGAGGGGGGGTTCCCACAGTGCTGGGACAGAGCCTGGGGTGACACCGTGGTGACATTAATGAAACAAGTCAATTAAACAAGAGCAAGAATACAGCGGGAATTGAGCACATTCCATGATTCCGGTTAAAACGATTCCAGTTAAAACACGATTCCAGTTAAAACACGGATGGTGGCAGTGGCAGGACTGGGGAGGGGGGGTATCACTGGGGTCACAATTGGGGTCTCTCCACGACCATTAACACGATTAATCAACCCCCAGCAGCACCGTGGGGAGCGGATGCAGACGAGAGGGCGACGAAGGTCCCACAAGGCATTCCCGGAGCTCGGGATGCGATTCCCAGCGCCCCCCGGGGGGCCGGGAGGATGGGGGGGTGGCATTCCAGGAGGATGAGCGGGATCCTCAGGGGGAGAGGCGCTCGTAGACCCAGTCCCCGTGGCCGGGGTGGGTCATGGCCCCGAGCGGGGCCGAGCGGTCCCGGAGCCTCCGGAACACGATCCGGTCGTGCAGCCGGTTGGTCTGGCCCTGCCAGAACTCCACCACCTCGGGCTCCAGGACGTACCCACCCCTGGCAGGGGCACGCGGGGCTTTAGGGGGGCTCAGGGGGGGATGGACCCCCCACCCCCAGCCCCGCGGGACTCACCAGTACTGCGGTTTGGGCACTGCCTTGTCCCGGAATTTCTCCTCCAGCTCCGCGTTCCTCTTCCTCAGGTCCTGCGGGAGCGGGGAGGGGTGAGGGGGGCGGAGGAGGACGGGGCAGCCCCTGGTGATCCCTCGGGAAGGGCGGGCTCACCTCGCGGTCGGGGATGACGGAGCTCTGCCTGCTCACCACGGCCCCGATCTGGCTGCTCCGGGGCCGGGAGCTGAAGTAGCGCTCGGATTCCTCCTCCGGGAGCCGCCTCACCGAGCCCTCCACCCGCACCTGGGGCGGGAACGGCGGCTCAGACCCGGGGAACGGCTCCGAGGGGGCTCCCGAGTGTGGGAACACCCCATTCCCCCCAAAACACAGGCACCACCATCACCCCGGCTCCAGCCAGCAGCTCCAAGGGGGCTCCTGAGCATGGAAACAGCCCATTCCCTGACCTTCCCACCCCATCCCTGACCTTCCCACCCCATCCCTGACCTTCCTCCCCCATTCCCTGACCTTCCCACCCCATCCCTGACCTTCCCACCCCATCCCTGACCTTCCCATCCCATCCCTGACCTTCCCATCCCAACCCTGACCTTTCCACCCCATTCCCTGACCTTCCCACCCCCCATCACATCTCCCCCTCAGGGGCTGGGAGCCATCCCAGTGTGACCTCCCCCATGCTCCGTGTGACCCCCAGGGTCCCCCACCACCATTCCAAGGGTCCCTCTGTGCTCCCCCCACGTCCCAGGGGATCCCCCCTCACCTGCCGGCTGAGGGGCTCCCAGTAGAAGACGAGGGAAGCGAAGGGATTGGACTCCTGGGGGGAAGGGGAGGGAGCTGTCAGCGCTCCCACATCATTCCCAGCTCCAGAAATCCAGGATACCCCGGGATCTGCTGCAGCAGGAGCTGCCCCCACGGGGCGGGCACGGCCTTGACCCCAAACGGGGCTGTTTGGGTCACAGGGACAGTGCAGAGGGGCTGGCAAGGAGCTGCCACCCTGGGGAACCCCCAGAGCCCCCTCAGAGCTCCCCCAGCACCCCCAGAGCTCCCTCAGAGACCACCCAGCACCCTCAGCACCCCCAAACCCACTCAGCACCCCCAGTGTCACCCCAGCACCCCCAAAGCCCACCCAAAACCCCCAGAGCCCCCCAGCACCTCCAAAGCCCACCCAGCACCCTCAGAGCCCCCCAGCACTCCCAGAGCCCCCAGCACCCTCAGAGCCCTCCAGCACCCCAGAGCCCCAGAGCCCCCAAGCCCTCACCAGCTCCCTGCCCTTCCTGCTCTCGTGGTTGGTGAAGAAGCGGAACCCGTCCTGGCCGAAGCCCTTCAGCAGCACCATCCTGGCCGAGGGCTTCCCGTCCCTGGGATGGGCACAGGGAGGGGGGTGAGCACAGGACAGACTCCCCTCAACCCCCCGTGTCACCCCCAGCCCCCGGTGTCACCTGGAGCAGGTGGCCAAGCACATGGCATTGACCTCGCCGATGTCCGGGCACTCCAGGGCCTCCTGGAACCAGGCTCGGAATTGTTCTATGGGATCGAGGGACACCAGGTGCTGCTCCTCGAAGGCCTGGGGGACACGGGGGACAGGGTGAGGCACGGGGGGACACGCCCTGGGCTGGGGGGACACCGGGGGGGGTCCCACTGGGTGCAGGGGAGGGGGTGACACCGACACGGGGGGAGCTGTGAGGGGATGGAGGGGGAACCCCAGGGCTTTGGGGACAGTCTGGGGGGTCACCAGGGCTTTGGGGACACTCTGGGGGGTCACCAGGGCTTTGGGGACAAGTTTAGGGGTCACTCAAAGTCTTGGGGCAGCTTAGGGGGTCAGCCCAGGCCTTGGGGACAGCTCGGGGTGGGGGGCCTGGTCCTGGGGTCACTGCCAGCACGGTGGGAGGGTCCTGAGGGCCTTGGGGACATCCTGGGGGGGCGTCACCCTGGCTGGGAGCGGTCCCCGTGCCTTGGGGACACCCTGGGGGGGGTGACCGAGGAGGGAATACCCCGGCTGGGGGGTGTTCCCCGGGCCCTGGGGACACCGTGAGGGGTGCCCCCGGCCCAGGCCCCCCGTGTCACCCCTGTCGCACCCCCGTGTCCCCCGGCCCACCTCGGTGTCCCCCCGGTAGTCCTTGCGCAGCCCCTGCAGATCCATCGCGACACAACGCGGAGGGGAGGCCCCCCCCGCACTGGGGGCGTGGTCAGCACAGACCACGCCTCCTCCCATGCGGCCAATAGAGAGCGGTGGAGCTCGGAGGGCTGGAAAGCGATTGGAGGAGAGGGAGGGGGCGGGGCGAGAGGACCCGGAAGAGGCGGCCGGGGTTGAAGGGGGCTCTTAAAGGGACAGAGACCGCGGGGGGGACGACAGGGGGCTGGGGGACACCAGGATTTGGGGACACCGGGCAGAGGAAACCTTGGGGACAAACCCACACTCCTGGCCTGGCAGTTCATGGGAGCAGCAGCTCCAGGGACGTTTTCCCGTAAATAAATCAATTTCCACCAGTATTTGGGATTCCTGGCAATAAACCCCACTTTCCTCCTGCCCTCAACTCCCTCCCACATCCCACCAGATCCAGAACATCCCCAGCCCAGGAAAGAACGGAGCCTCGGTGGCACAGCAAGGATTTGCCTCTGGTGACTAAATTTATTTAGCAAGGAAAAAGCTCCTGGGCTGTCTCCAGGTACAGTTCAGAAAACAGGAACAGATCCGATCACATAATCCAGGGAAAACACCCTCGGGCTCGTTACAACTAAAAAATAAAGTGGATTTTTTCGTCTGTTTGTTTAATTTAAAAGCTCCAAAGCAATATAATCTATGATACAATGTACACTGTACACAGAAGGGGGCACGGGGAAAGGAGTCCCAAAATTCCAAAGGAAAACGTTTCCACGTTGCTTGGGAATTAAAAAGTCGGGAGAGAGAAATTTTTAAGAGGGGGGGGAAGGAAAAAAAAACAAAACAAAACAAAAACAACAAAAAGCAGAAAATTTGAGTTTTGGGAGAGAAAAAGAAACAGAACAAAACAACAAAATAAAGCCTTGAGTTTTTGGGAAATCTGAGGAGGAAGAGGGGGTTAAATAGAGATTAGAAAAGCACTCATGATCCACAGGGTGGGAATCGGGAGCGTAAGGCAACGATCTCCATAGAAAAGGGGGACCTTCCAAAGGGGGCATAGAGATATTTATAGCTATTTATAGATTTAAATACAAAGGAGGAATGTGCTGTGGGGCCTCTCCCCCGTGCCCTGGCTCCTGGGGGGGCTCCTGGGGGACATCCCAGGGAGGGCTCCCGGCCCTGCTGGGCCACCCCCCGACCCCGGGGGCGTCCCTGGCACCTCTGGGGGCTTTGGGGACGTCCCTCGGGGTCCCCCGTCCTGGGGGGGCTCTGGAGTGCTCCTGGGCCTGGCCGTGGGGTGGGGGGTGGGGGGTGGGACCCCCCCTCAAGGCCCTACAAGTTCTTGGTGACCAGGTGGGTCTTGTAGTGCTTGGTCAGGTGGTCGGAGCGCATGAAGCGTTTCTGGCACTGGGCACACTCGAACCTCTTGTCACCTGTGGGCAGAGGGGACACTCAGGGGGTGGCACTGGGATGCTGTGCCTGGCTCCCCGTGCCAGGGCAGGACAGTGGGGACATCCCCAGGGCAGGACCCCCTGATCCCCCCTGCCCCCTCCCGTGACACCTCCATCACCAGGACAACCCCAAAGCAGCAGAGACCCCCCAAATCCTCCCAGGCCCTCCTGGGAACTCCAACCACTTGGGGGGGGCTGGGGCAGGGTTTGGAGGGTGGCCCAGGGGTGCTATCCCAGGATTTTGGGGGTCCCCTGACCCATGTGTGTGTCCCAGGATTCGGGGCTATCCCAGGGCTGACCCATGTGTATCCCAGGATTTGGGGTTACCCCAGGATCTGGGGGTTATCCCAGGCTTTGGGGTTATCCCAGGCTCTGGGGGCTATCCCAGGCTTTGGGGCTATCCCAGGGCTGACCCGTGTGTGTCCCAGGATCTGCGGGTTATCCCAGGATCTGGGTTCTATCCCAGGATTTGGGGCTATCCCAGGCTTTGGGGCTATCCCAGGGCTGACCCATGTGTGTCCCAGGATTTGAGGGTTATCCCAGGCTTTGGGGTTATCCCAGGCTTTGGGGCTATCCCAGGCTTTGGGGCTATCCCAGGCTTTGGGGTTATCCCAGGCTTTGGGGTTATCCCAGGATTTTGGGGTTATCCCAGGCTTTGGGGTTATCCCAGGATCTGGGGGCTATCCCAGGCATTGGGGTTATCCCAGGGCTGACCCATGTGTGTCCCAGGATTTGGGGCTATCCCAGGCTTTGGGGCTATCCCAGGCTTTGGGGCTATCCCAGGATCTGGGGGTTATTCCAGGATTTGGGGTTATCCCAGGATTTGGGGGCTATCCCAGGATTTGGGTTATCCCAGGCTTTGGGGTTATCCCAGGGCTGACCCGTGTGTGTCCCAGGATCTGGGGGTTATCCCAGGATTTGGGGCTATCCCAGGCTTTGGGGTTATCCCAGGATCTGGGGGTTATCCCAGTGCTGACCCGTGTGTGTCCGCGCGTGCCGCTGCAGTTCGTCGGAGCGCGTGAAGCGCTTCCCGCAGAACACCCAGTTGCACACGAAGGGCCTCTCCCCCGTGTGCAGCCTCACGTGGGCCCTCAGCAGCGACGTCTTCCGGAAGGTTCTGCCGCACTCGGGGATGTGGCAGATGTGCTTCTTCTTGCCCGGATCCCCCGGCCTGCGGAGCAAGGCAGGGAAGAGAAGGAAGGGAATGTCGGTGATCTCAGCTCCCAGCGCCTCTGAGCTCCAGTTCCCAGGGATCTGCTGCTTCCCACTCACCTCTTCTCCCCATCCTTGCAGTTGGGGCAGGTACAGGCCATCCTCCTCCTCTTCTCCCCCGGCTGGATCTCTCCAGACAGCGCCTGCTCCATCTGGAGCTGGATCTGGGTGGGGCTCAGCCCGCTGATGGTCAGGTTGTTGCCGGACACGTTCTGCACCGTCAGCTGCTGCTGGCCTGGGGGAGGAAAAGGGGGATGAGCAGCCAGCCACGCTCCTTCCAGGGCTCCTGCCAAACCCTCTGCAGGGGCTGGCTGGAGGGAAGATCCCCCAGGAGCACGGGACACCCCAAAACTCACCCCACCCCGCCCCACATGCAGCACAGCCACAGCTCCACCCCACCCCGCCCTCCCACTCCCCTCCGGGTAAGTCCCTTTTTCCTGAATATACTGTGCGGTTTTTCAAAGTTTTCGGTTCGACCCTTCCAGGAAAAAACGGGCTCTCAGAGGAGGAAATAAAAAAAGAAACTTTGAAAAAACGTGCAATATATTGAGCAAAAGAACGGGACTTACCCCGGGCCCTCAGGGGCCGCTCCAGGCCCCGGCGCTCGCGGACGAGGCGGCACCCGGAGAGCCGCGGCGGGCGCTGGAAAGAAGAAGACGGGATCGGCGTCAGCAAAGCGGGATCGCTGCTCCCAGGGTGGCAGCAGCAGCAGGAGGAGCGGGAGGAGGGAAAGGAGGAGTGGGATTTGGCAGCAGAGCAAAGCAGAGGGGCGATGCCGGACAGGGGAGCGCCGGGCCGGGGGCTGGAGCAGCTCTCTGGTGGCTCTGGAGGTGGGAATGTCCTCGCTGAGACCCGACTCAGCTCCTTACACAGCCAGCAGGTCCTACCAGTCCCCTCCACATCTGCCCACGGCATCTCCCCCATCCCAATTAAATCCCCCCCTGGAAGCCAATCCTGGGGGAACGGCGGCCAAAGGCGGAGCGGGAAACCACGGCAGGCCGGGTTTTCTGCTGACACGGGCTTTAGTGGAGCAAGAAGGAACAGCTTCCCAGTGCCAAACCGAGGTGCTGCTGGCACAGGAGCCGCGGCCAGGCAGCAGGTCTGGCTGGATCGGGAGGGAGATGGAATTCCCACAGACACAGCTCCCTCCCCTCAGCTCCCCGGGGAGCTCTGGGGGCAGGAGCAGGGACACGGTGGCTGCAGGGACATCACTGTCCTGGAATGGGGGCCTGAGGTGCACCAGGGCTCTCTGTGGCTCCTGGGCCACGTCTGGCTGCTTTTGGCTCAAGGGAAGATCCCAGGAGGTGAATTCACTCCCTGGGAATGGTGATCCCTCGTTATGGAGCTGGAAGGACAGGACTGTGGGAATTCCCTCTGCTGGGTCAGCTGCTGGAGCCCAAACCAGCAGCCATCGCTCCCAGAGGACGCAGGGAGATGTCCCAGCACTGAGATTGGGATTTGGAAGCGTGATCCATGGCAGGGGAGGCTGCAGGAGGGGTAATCCCATTGCACCACATCCCTCTGCCAGGCTGGGTCCTGGCTCTCCAGGAAAAAAAAAAAAAGACCTCCAAAAAAAAACCTCAAAAAAAAGACACCTTAAAAAAAAAACCAAGAAAAAAAGACACCTCAAAAAAAAAGAAATTCATAAAAAGACACCCCAAAAGAAAGACCTCTCAAGGCCTTGGGAACAGCTCAGTGTTCCCATGCAGAGCTCCGAGGGGATGGAGCTGGGCTGGGATCCTGGGAAGCCTCCGATGCTCCTGCTCCTCTGCCACCCGCCCTCCCTGACCCAGCCAACCAGGATGGGCTTGGGACCACCCAAAATCCACCCCAGGAATCACTCAGGGAGCCACGGGAGCTGCTGACGTGGCACAGCCACCTCCAGCCTCGGGATGTGCTCCAGGAGGGGGTTCCCACCGCGTGTCCCTGTCCCTCCTTCCCAGCCCGCTCCGGGGCGGATCCCAGCCCACCTCCGGCGTTGGTGATGGTGACGGGCACGCCCTGCACCTGCACCCCGTTGATGTTGATGGTCTGCATGGCCTGGGCAGCAGCTGCCAGCTGGGCAGCGTTCAGGCTCAGGATGCCCCCGGCCGGGGCGATTTTGGGCAGCGGGCGCTCCTTGCGGGTTTGGGGTTTCCGGGAGCCCCCCGGGCCGGGGCTGCGGGACACGGGGCTGCTGCACGACGATCCCGACGGAGCCACGGCCATGGCCGAGGCCTCCTGGAGCACCACGGTCTGCAGCTCCCCTGAGGGGGTCTTGAAGTAGACCTGAGGGGGGCAGAGAAGGGGGGTGAGGTTGGGAATGGTTCCTCTTCCCCCCACACATCCACACCCACACCCCCCAACCCCAGGGATCATGGAATCATGGATGGTTTGGGTTGGAAGGGATCTTAAAGCTCATCCAGTCCCACCCACCCAGGGACATCTTCCCCCAATCCAGGCTGCTCAGAGCTCCATCCAACCAGGCCTTCAACACTTCCAGGGATGGGGCAGCCAAAACTACTCTGGGTTGGAAGGGATCTTAAAGCTCATCCAGTCCCACCCCCTGCCACGGGCAGCGACACCTTCCCCCATCCCAGGCTGCTCTGAGCTCCATCCAACCAGGCCTGGGACATTTCCAGGGACGGGAATCCTGCGATGAGCCCAAAACCTTTTAGATCCTCCTTCAGAACCCTCAAAAAAACCCCTTCAGTTCCTCCTCCTTCGAAACCCTCACGAAACCCTTCAGCTCCTCCATCAAAACCCCTTCAGCTCCTCCATCAAAGCCCTTTAGTCCCCAAACCCCGAGGCCGAGGGGAAGGGCAGCGGGCGGAGCGGCCCCTCGGGAGGGGGTACCTGGGTGGGCGTGGGCTCCGCCGCCTGGATCTGGAAGTTCTGGGAGGATTTCTGGGGCACGGTGGGCAGCGTGGCCGAGGCCGCCTGCACCACGCGCAGGGCCTGCTGCGGGATCTGCACCACCTGCGACTCCTGCTTGGGCTGCTGCACCACCTGCACCTGCTGCACCACGGCGGGCTGCCCCGCGCCGGGGCTCTGCACGATCAGCAGGTTGCTGCCGGCCTGGATGATGTTCTCGGCCGTCGTCTCGATCAGCACCGTCTCCACCTGCTCGGCCACGGCCACGGCGGGCGGCTGGGCGGGGGAGGCCGCCTTTTTGCGGGGCTTTTTGCCCGCCTTGGAAGGGCTGTCCGCGAGCAGCTGGGCCGGGGCGCCCTGCTCGGGGCACACCACGCCGCTGCCCGCCAGGCTCAGGGTCACGTTGCCACCACCCGGGAGCTTCACCACGCCGGCCGCGCCCGGCGCCGCCGCCTTCTGAGCCGGGGCCGGTTTGATGGGCACGGGCTTGTGAGAGGAGGAGGAGGAGGAGGACGAGGAGGAGGACGAGGAGGAGGAGGAGCAGGAGGAGGTGGAGGTGGAGGAAGGCGCCAGGATGGCCTGGTTGGTGCCGGGGATGATCTGGATCTGGTTGGCCAGGTTGGGCTGCACCTGGATGGCCTGAGCCCCGCCGGGCACCGCCTGGTACTGCAGGCTGGAGGAGGAGGAGGAGGACGAGGAGGGCGAGGAGGAGGACGAGGAGGACGAGCGGGAGCCCTTGCTGAGCACGGCCGGGTTCTGGATGGCGAAGACCAGCTGCCCCCCCGGGTAGGAGGTGCCCACCTGGGAGCCCTGGATCTGGAAGAGGTTCCCTTTGGAGGACAGGATGCCGATGCTGCTCTTGGCGGCGCCCAGGGGCAGCGGGGCGGGTTTGATGGGCACCAGCTTGCGGGGCGTGGGCTGGGGGGGAGCCGGGGGCGTCACGGCGGCCTCCACGGCGGGGGGGCCGATCTTGCTACATGTGGCTGCCAGGAGGGCCAGGGGAGAGGGCTGGGAGTCCTGGGAACGGGGAAAACAGGGACGTTAGGGACGGGACGTCGTGCCAAACGCCCCGAAATCCACCCGCCCCCGTCACACCCCCTCAGCTCGGATTCCAAGACCACCTCGCGATATGGACCTGAGGGATCCTCCAGGGAAACAGAGAGGAGCCCTGCGCTCACCTGGGTGCCGGAGGCCGCGGGCTGCAGGTACTCGCTGGGGCTGACGGCAGCAGTGGCGGCCATGCTGGCCCTGGAGCTGCTGGGAGAGCACATGGATCAGCACAGGGATCAGCACAGGGATCAGCACATGGATCAGCACATGGATCAGCACATGGATCAGCACATGGATCACCACATGGATCACCACAGGGATCAGCACAGGGATCACCACATGGATCAGCACATGGATCAGCACATGGATCAGCACATGGATCAGCCCAGGGAGCCCATCCTGAGGCTCCCCAATCCCAGGGGATGCTCCTGGGATCCCTCCTGCACTCCCCAGGCCTGTGGAAGGGCCGTGTCCAAGGGGCTGCACCAGCCCCTCCCCATCTGCCCAAGGGAATTCCCAAAGAGCATTCCCAGCATGTTTTCTTCATTTTCCAGACCCTCATTTTCCTGCATCCCACTCCTGAAGCCACCCCCTTCCCCTAAAAATAAAAGGGGATCCTTCAAAGCAGCAGCAGGTTGGTGCCCACAGAGCCAAAATCCACCCTGGTTTTCCAGCTCTGGGAATCCAAAAGGACAAGAGTTTTCGGGAAAGATTCCTGTTTTGTTTTGTTTTTTTTTTTTTAACACAGTTTCTTTTTAAAGGTTTAAACCAAAGGAAAGAGGCCCCCAAATCCTCCCAGACTGGCTGAATCTTTTGCTCTGGATTTGAAGAGGTCTCAGCTTTGACGTTTCCCTCGGAGAATTCCCCATCCAGCAGCTGCTCCAGAAAAAAATTCCCTGGATAAGGTGGCAGGGAGGACCTGGAGCCTGGGAATGTGGAGCCTTCCCTGGGCCAGCACCAGCTCCAAGGCTCCTCTCCCACAGCACAGGAATCCCTGGGAAGAGCCAGGTGGGAGTCCCAGGCTCCTGGAATGGCCTCACTCCTTGGCAGAGGAATTCTCGTTCCCTTGTACCCTCCTGGGGATGATGGAATGGGAGCCCAGCGCTGGCCTGGGATGAAAGGGAAGGATTTTCCCGGAAAAGGGGGAGCTTTCATCCCAGAAAAGCCGGGAGCTTGCAGGGCTGCACCCTCCCTTTGAGCAGGATTAGGGATTAGCAGCAGGGCAGGGACACAGCCCGGCCCAGATCCCATGATCCTGGAGAAAGAACGAGGGACAGGATCCAGGGGGATCCCCCCGTGCAGGGAATCTTGGAATAATCTGGGATTTGGGAGGAGTCAGTTTAAATCCTGGGACACCACAGGATTCCAGGAACTTCCCGACATCCAGAGGTCGATTTTTGAAATTCCCGGGTGTTTTGAGGAGGAACAAGAGGGGAAGTTGGAATGGAGGGAGCCAGGATGGTTGTGAGCAGCTCCTGGCTCTGGAAAGGGTTTCCCAGGAGGGGATCGAGGGGATCAAAGCCACCCCAGCCCCCTCCCTGGGAAATTCCAGGGGCACCAATCTGGGTTTTCCTGAGCGGCCCAGACCCTGCTGTGCTGCCCAGCCCGGGAATCCCAGCGTGGGATCCTGCCCAGATCCCACCAGGGGGATGAATTCCCCCCCTGAACCAAGACCTGACCCCCCCATCACCAGAGACCCCCTCGCTGGTCCCGAGACCCCCAGCCCGGGGACCCCCAGAACTGCCCCTCCCACCCCCGGGGACCCCCCGAGCATCCCGGGCATCCTCGGCCCGGGGACCCCGGACCTGACACACCCCCTCCATCCCCGGGTGACCCCACGACCCCGCACCCCCTCCCCATCCCGGGCCCCTCCGGCCCCTCCGGGCGGGTCCCGGGAGGCGGGTCCGAGGGCCCGGGCCCGCCCCCGACCGGGCCGACGGCGCCGGAAGCGCGGCCCTCCCGGCCGGGCCCTGGGTCTGGGCGGGCCGCGGGTCCCGCCGGGGGTTGCCGGACCCCACCGCAGCCCCCCCGGCCGCCCCCCGGCCCCGCCCGGCCCGCACTGACCGGGGGGGCGGCGGCGGCTCCGACCCGCTCACGGCGCCATCTTCGTCCTGCGGGCACCGCCCTGCGCGCCCCGCCCCGCCGCGGCCTCGCAGCCAATCCCCGCCCGGTGCTCCACAGGGCTGCCCAATCGGAGCGGAGATGGCGGTCGGCCGGCCAATCCGCTGCGGGCCGCGGGTTGATGGGCAGCTCCGCTGTGCAATGGGACGCGGAGCGCAGGGTGACGGACGGAGGCGGGAAGCCAATGGAAGGGAGGGTTTTGATTGACAGGTCACGGAGCCAATGGGGTCAAGCCCAGGCCGTGCCGGGCCGCTGGTTGAGTGACAGCAAGCGAGGGGGGCACAACTTCCTCGTGGGCGGGACCAGACCGAAAGACGCCTCTCGATTGGTCGAAGGCACTTGATTGACAGCAAGATCGGGCAATGGAAGGCGCGAGGATGCAGAACAGCGCCTGTGATTGGTTGGAGGCTGGGGGGGAGCTGTTCGGGGCTGATGACGTCACGGGGTCCCCCCGAGGGTGGGGGGAGTCCCGGGGAACCCCCGGGGGCGGCCTGGACCCCCCTTTCCCCATCACCGATCCCGGGGGGCACCCCCAGACCCCGCGCCCAGCACCGACCCCTCGGGGAGCGCCTCAATCCCATCAGAGACCCCTCAGGACCCCGGACCCCCCCACCCAGCACCGACCCCTCAGGGGACCCCCAAACCTCATCACCGGCCCCTGGGGCACCCCCAGACCCCCTCACCCATCACAGACCTCTCGGGACCCCCCCACTCATCACTGACCCCTTGGGACCCCCCCACTCATCACTGACCCCTCGCAGGATTTGAGGGGGGCCCGGGGGATCCCCAAATGGGTGACGCCCAGCAGTGGCTCCTGAAGGACCCCCAACTCCCCCCGTGGGGATCCAGTCACAAAGATTTGGGGTTCTTGGAGGGTTTTGGGGTGTTCCATCCCCTTCAGGGCTCCAGAGGGCTTGGGGGGGTCCCCAGCCCCTCACAGAGGTTGGGGTGCTCGGGGGGCGAATTCAGGGTGCCAGAGGGGGGTCAGGGGTGCCCAGTTCCCACCTCCACATCTCTCCCCCCGTCCCAGTGTGCCCCCCACTCACCCCACAAACCCTCCCGAGGGGCATCCCCCCCATTCCCACCACGACCCCCTGCCCGGTGCCAGCGCTGCCAGCCCGGGGGGTGCCCAGCTGGCTCTCCGGCCCCCCCACGGGCCCAGCAGCTCCCAGTGGAGCCAAATAATTGCCCGGTGCTTTGTTGTGCCGTGTCTGTGGCCGCGGGGCCTCCCATTTGTGGGAACCTGGTGCGGCGGGAGCGCCTCCCATTAATTGCCCTGCTCCCTCCCTCCCTCCCTCCCCGCTTACTCACCGCCTGGCACCGCCGCCCCCGAGCCCCCAGACCCACCCGGGGGTCCCCCGGGGCGCAGCTGGGGGGGTTGGGGTCGGGCAGACCCCCCCTCACCCCGGGGGTTCCATCCCGGGGTGGAAGGAAGGGGTTGGGGGCATTTGGGGGTGGGGGACACCCTTGGCACCCCTGGGATGGGCTCTGGAAAGGCCCCGGGAAGCAGCACAGGCGTCCCCAGGGACACGGGGATGGCCCTGTGGGGGATGTGGCACCGACCCCAAACGTGTCCCCGCACCCCAGAGCGGGACCCAGGGGACACCCCAGGGGGCACTGGGCCAGGGGACACCCAGCAGGGCACCAGGGAGACCCCAAAAGCTCAGCTCAGGCTGTCAGGGGACATCCTGCATGGCACTGCCACCTTCCAAGCAGGGACACACAGGTTGGCACAGCGAGGCTGGGATGGGCACACGGGGACATGGGGACATGGGGACACACACTGAGGGCCACGGTCAGACCTCACCAGGGGGTCCTGCAGGGCCCAGAGGGCCCAGAGCTGTGACAGGGGGTGAGGACACGACCCCCCCTGCGGTGCCCAGCCCTGCTGTCCCTGTCCCCAGCCCCTGCCACCCCCCCCGTGCCCTGAGCCAGCGGGATTTGTGCCCAAGCCCACGCTCAGTTACGGGAATTGTGGCACCTCCTCAGTGCCAGCCTGGCCCTGTGCCCGGGCCCCTTCCCAGCCCTGATCCCTGTCCCTGGAGCAACCACGTGTCCCTGTCCCCAGTCCAGCCAGGAATTGTCCTGCACGTGCCTGCATGATCCATGTCCCCAGAGCAACCCGGTGTCCCTGTCCCCATCCCTGATCCATCCCCATTCCATCTGCATCCCCATTCCCCATCCCCAGCACATCCCTGTGCCCCATTCCCAGTGCAGCCGTGTCCCTGTCCCCAGTGCAGCCGTGTCCCTGTCCCCAGTGTAGCCATGTCCCTGTCCCCAGTGCAGCCGTGTCCCTGTCCCCAGTGTAGCCGTGTCCCTGTCCCCAGTGCAGCCTTGTCCCTGTCCCCAATTTAGCCGTGTCCTTGTCCCCAGTGTCCTCTCCCTGTCCCCAGTGCAGCCATGTCCCTGTCCCCAGTGTCCCCTCCCTGTCCCACCCGCGTGTCCCCGCGCTCATCCCTCCCCTCTCCATACCCACGCCCCCATTCCCGCTGCCTCCACTCTCCCCATCCCGGTTGGGCGCTCCCCGCGCCGTGCCAGGCAGGTTTCCCCATGCCCTGAGTGACAGCCGGGCCGGCCGGCAGCAGATACGGCGGCGAGATTAACGCGGGGCTAATTAAACCCCAAATTAGGGCTCCCATTTAACCCCGCTCCCAGCCGGCAGCTCCGTCGCGGAGAGGTCGAGTCCCGACAGTAATTCCTGCTGCCGGGGAGGAAACCGCTCCCTCCGGGCACGCCGTGACCTGGCACGCACCGCGGGCACGGGAATCCCGTCGCGATAATCCCGATAGGAATCTCTGCCAGGCAGGCAGGTGCCCTTGTCCTCGGGGAGCAGGTGGGTAGCGCCGTGCCACCTGTTCCCGGGGGTGCCAGGCATTCCCGGGGGTGCCAGTCCTTCCCAGGGACACCACGGCTGGCACGGGGCTGGGTCCTGGTCCCCGTGATGGCACAGCCTGGGGACAGGGATGGGGTTGTGTCCCACCGTTTACTGGGAGCACTCCAGGGGGGGGGTGACACCCGCGTGGGAAGTGGGATCACTCCGTGGGGCTGTGATCACCCCACGGGGGCTGTGACCACCCAGAGCCACCCCTGTCCCTGACCCACCTGGCATCGTGCCCACAGTGCCACCCCCAGCAGTCTCGGGGTCCCCCCCCCCAGGTTCCCGTCAGCACCTCGAGGGGGGGTTCCACGTCACCCCAGAGTCACCCCCTCGGGGCTGTCTGGGTGTGGGGCCCCCCCAAAACCTCCGGGGAGGATCCCGGAGTGTCTCTCCCCGTCTGAGGCCCCGGGGCCACCCCAGGGATGTCCCCTCGGGACGGGGCGACCCAGACGGCGCAGCCCCGTGGCAGCCGCTGCAGACCCCCCCGGGGTTACCCCCCCGGGATCAGCACCCACGTGTGTGGGTGGGTGCACAGGGACGTGCTCACAGGCACGCGGCGCACGGGGGGGTCACACGCGTGGATGTGACCCCCCCACACACACAGACCCCTGCACGGACATGCCCAGACCCCACTCCCCCGACCCGCTCCTCCCCCTCCCCCCAATTTGTTTTATGGCAGAGCAGGAAATTGCGGCCCTTTCCGGAGCCGGGAGCGTTTGAAGTGCTCGGCCCCCAGGGCTGGGAGGGGGCTCGGATGTCCCTCTGTCCCCCCCTGGAACCTGGGGGGACATCCCTGCTCTTCCATCCCTCCCTCCATCCCCCTGCTCCTGGGGGACTCTCCTGCTCTCTCCCTCCATCCCTCCTCCATCTCTTTGTCTCTCCATCCCTCCCTCCATCCCCCACTCCTCTTTCCCTGGTGTCCCCAACCCCAATCCTGCACCCCCCCTGCCCCGTGCCAGCCCTTCCACCCCCCTCCACCACCCACGGGGCACACCGAGGGTCCTGTCCCCCCTTCCCTGGGCAGGACTGGGGGCAGCTCTGGGGGGTGGGGGGGTCGCTGCTGCCTCGTGCCCACCCGCACAGGGGGTCCCACTGAGGTTTTGGGGAGCACCGACCCCTCCTGCCCCACCCCGGCTCCTGCAGGACCCAGAACACCCCCCCAGTCACCCCTCGGTCCCCCCCCATCCCTTCCCGGAGCGGCTCCTGCCGCCTGATCACTGCGAGGGATTGGAGGCGTTTGCCTCTTGCCTTATAATTTATGCAAATGAGCTCTGTAATTAGGCTGTAATTTCAAGGCACGGCTCAGGGTTGCAGACAGAGGAGATCCCCCCCGGAACGCTCCGGCATCTCCACAATTCCTTGCCTGTTTGTGGTCCCACCTGAGGCTCCAGCTCTGCTTAGGGGGCTCCAGGACCCCTCCAGACTCCCTGCCCCCCCAAATCCCTCCCCCCACGGTCCCCACAGCCCTGTGCCACTGCCCCATCCTGCCACAGCATCTCGGCCCCCCACGGTCCCCGGGCACCTCCCGGCATCTCCTGCCCCCCCAGCCCAGCAGGGATGTTTTGGGAGGGGTCTGGAGGGTCCCAGGGAGGCCTTGGGGTCCGGTGCCAGTGGGATGAGGGGGGTCGGGGCCTTCCCAGATCTCTGTCCCTGGAGGAGACACACCGAGTGTCCCACATCCCTCCCTGGAGAGGATGGGAATGGCTGGGATAGGAGCCATCCAGCAACTGGGATCCCTGGCCAGGGACACGTCTCCCTCCCACCAGCCCAGTCCCTGCAGCACTGGGGACACTGGGAGGACACCTCGAGGGGAAGGGACAGGGGACGTGCCACATGTGCACGATGCACTGGGAAGGGAACAATCTGGCAAGCAGAGGGGGCAGCCAGGGAGCCCAGGGCCACCATCCCGGCCCCAATAACACTTGGGGGTCCCCCTTCCTCTGGATCCCTGGGAGTGGCCCCTGGATCCTCCCAGGATGGCAGTGAGACCCTGGAACTGTGCCCCCCAACATCCCCCCCCTGTGCCCCACGTGCCCTCACAGAGTACTTGTGTGTGTTCCCCCTGTCAACCCCCTCAGCCGCTTGTCCTGCCCCTTCACACCCCAGGGGTCCCCATCCCAGTGTTCCCATCCTGGGATCCCCACCTGGACACCCCATCCCGGTGTTCCCATCCCGGTGTCCCCATCCCGGTGTCCCCATCCCGGGAGCTCCATCCCTGTTCCTGCCCCAGCCCAGCCGTCGTGCCACGCTCACCCCACCGGCGGCCGCGTTTTGGTGGCGGCGGCGCTGGAGCCATTCCCTGGGATGATGAAAACCAGGAGAGTTTTCCCCGGGGCGAAGGAGTTCCCCGCACCCTCCGCCCGGCCGGGCGCTTGGCAGGCTGGCCGGGGGGTGTGGGCACGCCGGGATCGCGGCGCTGCCGGCCCGGTCCTGGCTCTGGAGAGGCACCGGAGCCTTTTCCCGTGGGATTCCGGGCAGGGTGGGCTTCCAACGGGGGGTCCCCGCGCAGCTGTGGCCGCCCCCGGGCAGGCCCCGGGGGGTTGGCTGTGGAAATGGGGACACGACGCGCCGGTGATTAAGTGGCTCCACTGGTGTTGTCACCCGGCAGTCCCGGGGTTTCTCGGCAGCCTCGGGGGGGACGGGGAGGTTTGGACATCCAAGGCTGAGCAGGGATGGGGTCGTCCAGCACCTCCTGGACCCTTCTGGGGTGCCCCAAATCCCATCTGGGTCATGGTGGGTCCTGCAGCGATCATCCCACTCCCTCCTGCCACGGGTCCAGCTCTGGCCCCAAAACTTGTCCCCTGTGTCCCACAGCGGGGGGCACTGAGCCCCCCATGGGGACAGGTGACGCCCCTGGGGGCAGGGGCAGGTGTGACGCCCCCGGAGTGGGGAGACAGACTGGGGGACCCCAAAAGGGTGGCAGGAGGAAGGTGGGCACCTCTGTGTGTCACCCCCGGGTGGGGAGACAGCTGGGGTGCCCGGGGATCTCTGGGGGGGTGGCAGGAGAAGGGCCGCCTCTTTGTGTCACCCCCGGGTGGGGGGACAGCTGTGGGGTGCCCGGGGGGACTGGCAGGAGGAGGGCGGCCACCTGCGTGTCACCAACAGCAGAGAGGGGACAGCTGCGGGGTGCCTGGACGAGGGGGGGGACAGGAGGGGTGCCCGGGGGTCCCCGGGGTGTGGGGGGGTGGCAGGAGGAGGCGGCCACGGGCGCGGGAGGGAGGCGGTTGTTTCTTTCTTCTTTAATTACCCCCCTGTTTGCGGTGTCTGCTGCGAACTTCCCGTCCCCTCCCTCCGCTTTCATCCGCCGGATCCTGGGACCGGAGCCGGCTCCTGTCAAGCGGCGGGGCTGGGGCTCTGCCTCCAAGGGTTAAAATCACCGGGGCCGGGGGTGGAGCTGGGCGGGGGGGCGGAGGGAAGAGCCGGCGGCCGGGCTGGGACCCGGCCATTCCTGCTCGCCCGGCCCAGTGGGTGCCCCGTCCCTGGGGAGCCGCGCGGGTCCCTCGGGGTCCCCTCGGGAAGCAGCGCCCACGCCACGCCGATGAGGACGGACCCGCCGGGACCTCGCTGCCGCCGCTAGACCCGTAGGTACCCCCGCCATCGCGGGGACCCCCGACGGGACCCCCCGGGAGGGTCCCGGCTGCCCTGACCGACGGCTGGGAACGGGCTGCGGCGGCCCCGCCGCCCGCTCCGGCCCCGGCCCCGGCAAGTCTGTGCTCGCCGCCCCGCCGCGTCCAGCGGCCACCGAGCCCCGGGGCTGCCGGCCCCGCCGCCTCCCGGGACGCCCCGATGTGTCCCCCCCACCCCGCTCCAATTTACAGCGCGACCGCCCTTCCCGCGGGGCTGAGATCCCTTCCCGTGGGGATGAGACCCCTTCCCGCGGGGCTGAGACCCCTTCCCGTGGGGATGAGACCCCTTCCCGTGGGGCTGAGACCCCTTCCCGTGGGGCTGAGACCCCTTCCTGAGGGGATGAGGTCCCCCTCCTGTTGGGTCGAGCCCCCACCGGCCCCGCAGGGACCCCGCGCCGGTACCGAGCCCCGGTGGGTGCGAGGCGGGGGGCTGGACAGGCTGGACCCCCCGCACCGCTTTTTTGGACCCCCCCAAAAAAAGCCCCCGGGGAGTTTCGCTGCGGCTTCGGGGCGCGTTGCTGCGGGCTGGCCAGGGAGTGGGGAACCCCAAACCCACGGCATCCCCCCAAAGCTTCGGCATCCCCCCGAACCCACGGCATCCGCGTGACCCCGCAGCATCCCCCCGAACCCACGGCGTGGCCCCAAACCCGCGATATCCCCCCGGATACCCACAGCCCCCTTCCCACCCGTTGGGGCTGCCGGTGCTGGGGGGCAGCGGCGCCCGCCCGGCCCCGCCGCGGGGCGAGGCAGCGGCGGGGCTGGGAGACGGGCCGGGCCGCCTGTGCCCAGCCCGGGCCGTGACTCACGGGACGCTTCACCCGCCGCTGCCTCAGTTTCCCTGCGGTGAAATGGCCAACGCGTCGTCGGGCCCCGCCAGGGAGGGAGGGAGGACGCTGGGGCCCCCCTGGGGATTTTTGTCATCCTTCCCGCGTGGAAAAACGTCCTGGGAAGGCTTCTCAGGTGGCTGGGGCAGACTCGTGGCGGGGGGTCCTCCCAGTGCTTAACCCCCCCCATCCCAGTAGTGGTCCTTGTTCGCTGGTTTTGGAGCTGGGAGGGGGTGTGGGGATGGTGTGACTGGTGGGAGTGGGGCTGCCCTAGGGGGCTTGTGGGGACCCCCGAGCCGAGGGGACTGTGGGGAGTGGGGTCAGGAGAGCCATGGAGGGGCCGTCCTGGAGCTGTGTCAGGGGGACCTCCCCGGGACCCCACAGAGGGTCCTTTCCCCTCCTATCACTGCTGGGGGCCTGGGGGATGTCCCTGCCATGTTCCCTGTGTCCCCAGACTCAGGGGGAGCCTGTGCCTTCCAGCTGCCACCCCAAAGCCCCCTGACAGGCTGTCACTGTGGGTTTTTGTGGGTTTGGCCCCAATTTTGCACCCAGAGGGAGCAGGGGGTTGGGGGGGCTCAGGACCCCACTGGGGACTGCTGTGGGAGGACGTGATGGACCCTCTTGGTGCCTTTCCTCTCCTGACACCCCCAGGATGGTCCCCAGGGTTGGGGTGGGCAGAGCTGAGCTCCAGCTGGGGAGCAGGACCCCAAAACCTGCTCAGGCTGCCACCCCAGCACCAGCTCGAGGCTGAGCCCCCACAGGTGTTGGTAGCACAGGTAAAGATGGGTTCTGTCAGGGGGATTTTGGGACCCCCCCTAATTCCCACCCAGATCCTTGGGATCCTTCTGGCTGACACCTGGCAGGGGAAAACGGTGTCCCCACACAGCTGGGGGGTCTTCCCGGGAAGCCTCCCTGCCCCAGACTCAGTACCAGGGATCAGAGGGCTCTGGGGGTCCGGCCCCTTTGTTCGGGGGATCCCCCACCCCAAAGCTTCCAGCGCCTCCCTGAGGGTCTATCCCTGTCCCACAGGGGCTGGGGAGTGTGAAGGGCTGGGGGGAACAGCGTGGGGGGAACTGGGAGAAGGAGATGGTGGCGAGAGGGTTTTTTGGGGAGGGGGAGGTCTCGGCCGCCCCTCACCGCGGCGCCGGTGGGAAGTCGGGGGGCGGGAGCCGGTGGCGGCAGGTGGATTTCGACACCGGGGTGGGGCCCGTCCCCAGTGGGGTTTGCAAAGCTCCCGCTGAGTCACGGCCGCCCTGCCAGGGAAGCAGCGGCCGCCCGGGGGTCTGGGGGTGCAGCGGGTGCCCCCAGGGGGTCCGGGGCCGCGGGCCAAGGCAGCCCAGAGCCCGCCTTCAAAGGGCTGCCGCGGGCCCTGCCCGGGGCGCTGCCGCCTCATCCCGCTGCCAACCAGGCCCCCAAAACGCCTGGGGGCTGCCAGCCGGGCTTGGGGCAGGAGCAGGGAGGGGGTCGATGGTTTCCCAGCCCGGCTGAGGGGCGGGAGAGCCAAGGTGGGCTCTTGGGTGCTGTCGGGACATGGGCGTGGGGATGGCACGCAGGTCCCCTCGGGTGTTGGGGGACACCGTCTGGGGGGTGACAAGGCAGGGGCTGCCGGTTTCCTTGGATTTTGGAATTAGGCACCGACCCCTCTGGGCCACAGACGTGACCCACCGGCACCACCAGGGGCTGGCACGGGGTCCATAAGGGGCGGGTGCTAAGGGGTGGCTCCCCCCCAGTCTGGTGTCACCATCCTGGTGTCACATCGGGCTGCAGAGCAGCGAACCCTCCTCGGTTTGGTGACCCCCAAAAGGCGGGTGATGGGCATGGGAGTCGCTGCCGGTGCACGCTCAGGGGCGGGGAGGGGGTGTGTGGAGATGTGCCCCCCTCCTCTTCTCACACCTCTTCTCTCCCCCTCCCCGCCCACCCCTCCTCGGCCCCTGCAGGTCTGTGCGCGCCGCCTCCCCGCGATGCTGACGGCGGTCTGCGGCTCCCTGGGATCCCAGCCCTCGGACGCGCCCCGCGCCTCCCCGACCCACCTGGACCTGCAGCCGCTGCAGCCCTTCCAGCCGCACGCCCCCGCCGCCCCGGGAGCCCCCGACTTCTCCTCCCCGCTGCCCCCCCCGGAGCTGCCGCTACCGGGGCCCGACGACTCCGCCTTCGCCGCCCCCGGCGCCTACGAGCCCCATGGCCCCCCGAGGTTAGAGCTGCCCCGCGACGGCCCCGCCGCCCCCGGCGCCTACGCCAAGCTGCTGCCGGCCCCCCCGGACATGGCGCACCCCTACGAGCCCTGGTTTCGGCCCCCCCACCCCGGCGCCCCCGGCGAGGAAGGGGGGGGTGTCAACTGGTGGGACCTCCACGCCGGGGCCAGCTGGATGGAGCTGCCCCCCGGGCAGGGCGGGGGGCTGCAGGTGCCCGCGCATCCCGGGCTGCCGCCGGCCCTGGGGGGGTACGGCCCCGGGGGGGAGCACCAGCTCTGCGGGCCCCCCGCCCACCTCCTGCCGCCGCCGGCGCAACATCTCCTGGGCACGGAGGGGGCGAAGGCTCTGGAGGGTCCCCCGGAGCCGCGGGGTCCGGAGGCGGAGGGCGGGGGGCGTCCCAAAGGCGCCCGGCGGGCCGTGCCGAGGGGCGGGGGGCAGGCGGCGTGTCGCTGCCCCAACTGCCAGGAGGCCGAGAGGGGGGGGCCGTGCCCCGAGGGGGCGAAGCGCAAGCACTTGCACAACTGCCACATCCCGGGCTGCGGGAAGGCGTACGCCAAGACCTCCCACCTGAAAGCCCACCTGCGCTGGCACAGCGGCGACCGGCCCTTCGTGTGCAACTGGCTCTTCTGCGGCAAGCGCTTCACCCGCTCCGACGAGCTGCAGCGGCACCTCCAGACCCACACCGGCGCCAAGAAGTTCGCCTGCCCCGTCTGCGGCCGCGTCTTCATGCGCAGCGACCACCTGGGCAAGCACATGAAGACCCACGACGGGGGCAAGGACGGGGCCGAGCCCGAAGGGAAGGGCGCCGGGGACCCGTCGGCCGCCAAGGGAGGAGGCAAGAGGGAGCCGGAGGGGGGCAACGCAGCCGCCCCCACAAACTGAGCCGCTGAGCCCCGGGGGGGGGACACACGGATGGAGGTGGGGAGGACCGGGGGGACCCTTCGGGGCCGGTCTCCGAAGGGATTTGGGGGTGTGTGTGGGGGTGGGCACAGGGCTGGCACCTTGTGCCGGGGGCGGTGGCGAGGAGGAGGGGACAAGGCTGGTGGCACAGCCCCGGCCCCTGCTGCGGCGTTTGGGGAGCGCCGGAGCCGGAGCTGCCCCGAGGCGGTTTCACTTGTCCTGCTCCTGCTCTCCTGCCCCGGTTCCCCCACCCTCCACCCCTCCATCCTCCCCCGGCTTCCCAAATCTTTTTTTTCGGGAGGCTGCTGGCAGGCGGCGGGGCTGTTTGGGAGGAACATCAATGGGAGCCGAAGGAGCGGGCGCTGCCCGGGCACGTCCAGCCCAAAGGGGAGGAAGGAGAAGGAGAAAGGGAGAGGAGAAACCCGGGAGCCGCCGCTCGGGGAGGGTGGCCGCAGCCCCCCGGCCCCCTCCCCGCGGTCCCCTCCAAACTGTGGCACGGCGGGCTCAGCCCCCGGCCCCGTGCCAGCCCCGTTTTCTGATCACTCCACGGAGTTTTTGGCACGTGGGGGACACGCGGGGCGGGACGGGGGCTGCCCACAGCCCCCCGCCCCGGCTGGGGATGCTGGGCCGGCGTGGGGTCCCGCACCCCTGGGAGCCCCGCCTTGGCCGGGAGCCTGAGGATGTGAAGCCCTATTTTTGTGGGGTTTTTTTTGGCCCGAATGGAGGCTAAAACAGGGAAAACAAAGAAGTCCTGCGTGAATGTGAGCCGCGGGGAGCTCGGGGGCCGCGGGGGCCGCGGGCGCGTGGCGGGGCCGTTGCCCAAGCGCACACCCGCGGCTTTCCCACGCCCACCGCCGCGGCCCCGGGCGGGAAGCACCGGGGCGGCCGCGGGCCCGGGAGAGCCGGGGCGGCCGCATTCCTCGGGCCTGGCACGGCCGCGCTGCCCCGCGACCCCCGCCCGCCCCCGGGCACCGCGGGGCCGGCCCTGCCCGCGGACCCCGGGACTGCGGGGCGAGCTGTCTGTCCCCGCACCTTGCCGTCCCTTCCTGGGGACAGCAGCCACCCCCCTGGGGTCCCTCGGGGACCCCGCACCCCAGGGGACCCCCGCTGTCCCCCCGTGCATGCAACCTGTCCCCCCGTGGCCCTGTAGCCGTCCCTCCCCGGGGTCCCGTATCTCCAGGGAATCTCTGCCTGCCCCCGTGCATGCTGCCTGTCCCCACGGGGACCCCAGAGCTGTCCCTTCCCAGGTCCCCCTATCTCCCGGTGGGCATCCCCCCAGCAGGGACCCCATGTTTTTCCCCCCCTGGGGCCGACACCCTGTCCCCAGGGGGCCCCGTGTCTGTCCTGCACCCCTGGCTAGGGGTCCTCGAAACTCGGTTTTTAGACCTTCGGGGTCTCACCCCCCGATTTTGGCAGAACCCCTCGGACACAGAAGGAGACGCTGAAACCGGGACCTGAGGGGGGGCGGTTTGGGGGAGGGCAGTGCTGGGGTGGGAGTGGGAGGGGTTCGCTGGCTGCTCGAGGCACCCGGGGGTTCCACCCCGGCTCTGCCCCCCAGCCAACACCAGTTCACACCAGTTGGGAGTCTGGGGAGGGGGGGAATTTGGGGGGAGCTGATCTCCCGGCATGGCCCCATCCTGGGGGCTCTGGGGGCCGTGTCGGGGGCTGCCTGGCTCAGAGCCCCCGAGGTCTAGGGGGAAGGGGTAGAGGTGAAGTCGAGTGGGGTCCGTGCCCAGAGGGCGCCCCAAGACCTTCGGTTTTGATTGTTTTATTATTATTATTATTAATTATTATTATTATTAATTATTATTATTTTATTAAGGTGAAGCCAGGCTTTGCCACTCGGGCAGAGTGAACGTCCCAGGCCGTGGGCTGCGGGGATGGGGAGGAGGGGGGTCGGACCCCTCAGAGGGTCCCATCCCTGTCCCCATCCCTGTCCCTGTCCCCACCGATGTGGGAGGGGCTGGCAGCAACCCCCCCGCGCCGTGGGGCAGGGGCGAGCCGTGGGGCTGGAGCCCCCCAGCACGAGGTGAAGTCTCGCTGGGGGGGTCTGCGAGGACGTGTCCCCAGCCCTGGCACGGCCACCACTGTCCCCCTGCAGGACTCGGGTGACCTGGGCTGCCCGCAGCTCTCGAAGGACGTCCCCGACTCCGGCATTTGCCTTTTCCAGCACAAAATTTCCCCGAGGTGCCCCCTAGATGGGATTTCATCTCCCCGGGGGGGGCTCAGGACCCTCCCGAAGGTGCCACAGTGCTGCACCCGTGGGGTTTTGGTGGCTCCAGCAGCAGCCGGGGGGGCTCTGGCCTGTTGGGGCCCCCGTGCTGCAGCCACCGGAGCAGATTTTGGGGGGAAGGTGGGGGCTACAGCAGGGGCACCCCAAGGGTGGGCTGGGGAGGGAACTGCCGAGCAGGGGGGTCCCACTGTGACGCCGGGACTCGGGGTTCAGCCTCACCTGTCTCAGAGTCGGGGGGGGCTGCGAGGAGAGGCCCCAGGTGTGCTGTGCCCCCTCCTCAAGGTGTGCTGTGCCCCCCCCTCAAGGTGTGCTGTGCCCCCCCCTCAAGGTGTGCTGTGCCCCCCCAGGTGTGCTCAGCCCCCGCAGCCCCGGGGCTCTCTGCCTGCCGCGATGGGGCAATGAAGGCTGTAAAACCGGGTGGGGAGGGCCGGCGGCCGGGAAACCAGTCCAGCCTGCTGCGGCGTGGGGATCCCGGCCCCGCGCCCCGAACCACCGCGTCCCCCACCCCCGGGGCCGCCTCCCCGGGGCAGGGAGGGACCGAGGGACCGGCACGGGGGGCGGGGAAGAGGGAGCGGGGTGGCCCGAGTGGGGGCTGCAGCCCTGGGGGCAAAGGGGTGCCCCCCGCCCGGCGAGGGGAGTGTTTGTGCTGTGAAGAGGCTGCGGGACTGTGCGTTGGGGTTTTTGTACTGAAATAAACGCCGCGTGTTTTCCACGCTCCGGCTCTCCCGGCTCCGTCCCTGCCAAGAGACCCGGGGGGCTGATCTGCGGCCCCAGAACATCCCTACCGAGGGATTTAGGGTTCAACACCGCGACCTTCCCACCCATCCCCACCAAGAGACCCAGGGGTCTGACACTGCAGCCCCAAATCATCCCTGCCAAGGGACCGGGGGTCCAGTACCCCCAACCCCAAATCATCCCTGCAAGGGATCTGGGGGTCCGGCACTCCAAATCCAAAATATCCTGAGGTCCAGTACCCCAACCCCAAATCCACCCTGCCAAAGAGTCCAAGGGTGCAGCACCCCACCCCCCACCCTGCCTTTGGGCCTCCGGGGCTGCTGGAGGGTACTGGGTGGGGGGTGACCGGGCTGAGGACCAGCTGAGCCCCCCCTGAGGGTCCCGTCCCTCACCCCCCCGCGCCGGGCGGGCGCTCGGGGTCCCCCCGCGGGCAGGGCGCTGCCCGGCAGGTCCGCCCGCATAGCGTGGGGCGGGCGGGGCGCTGCCCACGCGGAGTGATGCCCACGGGGGTACCGCCCACGGGGAAGGGGGGGTTGGTCTGCCCCACGGGACCCTCTCCAGATCGTACCCGGGTGCCTCGTCCATGCCCTGCGGGAAGGGGAAAACTGGGACCCCCATCCCCGGGGTCCTTTGGGGTCCGATCCCTCCCCATCCCACGCGGATGGCTGTGCCGGTGTCAGTGCCCTCTCCACACGCGGGTGTCGGTCCCGGTCCCGGTGTCTGTCCCGGTGTCTGTCCCGGTGTCTGTCCCGGTGCCAGTCCCCGCCGTTCGGCCTCCGACCACCGGGCGCCGCCGTCGCACGGGCGGTGCGGGACGGGACCGGGAGGGCGGGACCGGGAGCGGCGGGGGCGGTGCGGGAGCAGCGGCAGGTCCGTGGGGATGGAGGGTCCCGGGGGTCCCGCGTTACCGGGGATGGGCGGGAGGGGGTCCCGTCCGCGGGCGGTGCGGGGGGGTCCCGGTGACCGGGAGGGGGGGGTCTCCGGCCGCTGCGGAGCTGCGGGGTCCCGGGGGGAGGTGTCCCCAGTGCCCACCCCGCCATGGGGTCACTGATGTGTCTCCCTGGTTTCACGGACGGCGTTATCCCACAGACCCCCCCAATTCCGGCCCCAAAGGGACCGTGGGGACACATCCAGGACAGGCACAAGGGGGTGACATCCCCTCGGTGTCCCCCTCCCACCCTGGTCCCTTCTGCCGGGTTTAGGATGGCGGGGCAGGGTCCTGTTCCCTCGTCCTGCGACTGCTTCGTGGCCCTGCCCCCCCACACCGCGTCCCCCGCCGTCATCTTCGCCAAGAACGCCGACCGCCCGCGCCACGAGGTCCAGGAGGTCGTCTATGTCCCCGCTGCCACCCACCAGCCCGGGGACAAAGTCCAGGTGAGACCGTGCTGGGGCCAGGGTGGCTGCAGGGACGGTGGGTGGGGTCTGAGGCCATCCATGTGTGTCCCTCCCCCCCCCGAGTGCACCTGCCTGGGCCAGGGTGGCTCTTGGGGTCAGTGCACTGAGTGTGCCAGGTCTCAGCCCATCTGTGTGCCCTCCAGAGCAGCCTCCTGGGCCAAGGTGACTGCAGAGGGAGGTGCACTGAGTGTGCCAGGTCTCAGAGCCCCTCCCATGCCCTCTGGAGCACCTTCCTGCGCCAGGGTGGCTGCAGGGGACGGTGCCCTGAGTGCTCTGGGTGCCAGCCCCCCCGTGTGCCCCCCACAGTGCACGTACCTGGAGGTGGAGCAGGCAGAGCACACCCACGCCGTGGTGCTGAGCCGCCCTGCCTGGCTCTGGGGCGCCGAGATGGGCGCCAACGAGCACGGCGTGTGCGTGGGCAACGAGGGCGTGTGGACACGCGAGCCCCTGGGCGAGGACGAGGCACTGCTGGGCATGGACCTGGTGAGGTGAGGATGGACCTGGGGAGGTGAGGATGGACCCAGGGAGGTGAGGATGGACATGGGGAGGTGAGGGTGGGCCAGGGGAGGTGAGAACAGCACCATGTCCCTCCTGCCCCGGCTCCTGGCGCTGGCTGACGGGCACTGCCCGGCACAGGCTGGGTCTGGAGCGGGGCAGCTCGGCCCGGGAGGCCCTGGAGGTGATGACGGCGCTGCTGGAGCGTTATGGGCAGGGCGGGAGCTGCAAGGAGGAGCCGGTGCCCTTCGTGTACCACAACACCTTCCTGCTGGCTGACCGCACCGAGGCCTGGGTGCTGGAGACTGCCGGGCGCTACTGGGCGGCCCAGCGGATCACCGGTGAGCGGGCACTGGCTGTACTGGGAGCACAGGGAGCTGCGTGCCCCCTGCCAGCCCCCAGCTGACCCCCCTGTCGCAGAGGGAAGCCGCAACATCTCCAACCAGCTGAGCATCGGCAGCGAGATCACGGCGGAGCACGCGGGGCTGCGGCAGCGGGCGCAGAGCCAGGGCTGGTGGAGCGGGCACGGCGAGTTCAGCTTCGCCCAGGTTTTCTCCCTGGAGCAGCAGCCCCCGCGCATGGAGGCTGCCAAGGCCCGATTTCGAGCGGGGAGGGAGCTACTGAGGCAGCACGCAGGTGACAGGGACGGGGGCAGGACAGGGAAGGGAGGGCGACAGGGAAGGGGCAGGGGGAGGGATGGGATAGGAACAGGAGCTAGAACAGGACAGGGACAGGGACCGGCATACGGGAGGGATGGGGAGAGGACAGGGATGAGTACACAACAAGGACAGGGACTGGGATAGGACAGGGATGGGACAGGGACAGGGACAGGGACGGGGACAGCAGTGCCATGTCCCTGCGTGTCCCACCAGGTCACATCACGGCGGAGACGCTGATGTCCATCCTGCGGGACAAGGGCAGCGGGATCTGCGTGGACTCGGAGGGGTTCCGCACGGCGGGCAGCATGGTGTCCGTGCTGCCCCGCGACCCCGCCCTGCCCTGCGTGCACTTCTTCACCGCCACCCCCGACCCCTCCAGGTGAGGCCTCTGGGGGGGCCCAGCCCTGCTCCTGGGCCAGGCATTCCCGGGAAGCAGCCGCCATCCTCCCCCGTGCTGGGGCTCCTCTCCTCCAGGTCCGTCTTCAAGCCCTTCGTGTTCGTGGCCGGCATCAAGCCCGTGCCGCAGGTGAGGTCCCCGACCTTCCCCCAGGACCCTGCCAAGCTGATCCCGCGGTTCCAGAGCTCGGTGGATCGGCGGCACGAGCTGTACCGCCGGCACCAGGCAGCCCTGGAGCTCATGGAGCAGGACCAGGTACGGCAGAGCCCTCCCCACAGCTGCCCCCTTGATGAGGATCAGATTCCCTGAGCTCTCCTCCCTCCCCAATCCCACCAGGAGTGGGGCCAGAAGCTCCTGGAGACGCTGCAGGAGCTGGAGAAGCAGGGCCTGGAGGGGATGAAGGCGCTGCTGGAGGGGACAGAGACCCCCCACCCAGAGGAACTGGCTGACCTCTTCTTTGACTGCGTGGAGGCAGAGCTGAAGTTTTACACATAAACCCCACACAGGTGCGTGGGCTCGGCTTCCCCCTGGAATTGCACCTGGGTAGGGAATGAGAAAACATTCCTGGTGTCCAGCCCTGGCTCCCCACCTCCCCCAGCCCTGCCTGGGGGTGTGGAACCTCCAGCCCCTAATTTACCCTGGAGAAAAGCACTGAGATGTGCCCATGGCCTGGGATGAGGTGCAGGGGGAAGGAGAGGGATATGGGATGGGATTTGGAGCCCTGCCTTTGCCAGGGCCCCGGGATAGCTGCAGGGTGGGGGATCCATGGCATCCACATGGATTGGGGTGGGAATAAAACCTTTATTCCTGGCCTCGCGGTGCCGCGCTACCTCGGGATATTCGGGATAACTGTCTTTTCCCTGCCCCTTTGGCTCCAGTCTCCTTGTCCAGAGCTTTGCTCTGGGACTGGACGCCACCAGGAGCTCGCTGGGACCCGCTGGATCCCAGGAGGGGTGTCCCTGGCTGGGCCTGGGGCCGGGGGTGGCCCTGCAGGGGCTGTGGGGCCGTGGGGCTGGGGCCTCCATCCCGACCCGGGCTCAGCAGCAGATCCCGGCGTTCCTGCAGCTCCTCCATCCGCGCCCGGTGCTCCTCCAGCACCTCCCTCCGCCTCCGCTGGGAGCGCCCGGCCAGCTCCCGGCGCAGATCCGAGAAGAAACCTGCCAGGGATGCGAGGAGGGAGGAGGATCAGGGGGATGTGGCACTGCCAGCCCTGTCCCCAGGAGTGCCACGTGTCCCCTTCCGCCCCCTGGGCACCTTTGTCCACTGTGAAAGGGCCGCTGGGCCTGGGGAGCAGCTCATCATCCTCATCCTGGCCACGGGAAGAGCCTCCTCCCTCCTCTTCCTTGCCACGGAGGGGCTGGGCATCCAGCTGCAGGAGGTGGGGCAGCGCTCCCAACACCAGCTCCCTGGAAAAAATGAGGGAAGAGCCAATGTCCCCGCCCCTGGCACCGTGTCCCCCCTGCACAGCCCACCCCCAGCCTGGGCACAGGGCAGGGATTCACATCCCTGGGCTTGGGTGTTTGTATTTGATGTCTCATGGAATTGTTTGGGTTGGAAGGCATCCCAAAGACCACCCAGTGCCACCCCCTGCCACGGGCAGGGACACCTTCCACTAGCCCAGGTTGCTCCAAGCCCCAGTCCAACCTGGCCTTGGGCACTTCCAGGGCTGGGACAGCCACAGCTTCTCTGGAAAATCCATCCCAGCACCTCCCCACCCTCCCAGGGAAGAATTCCTTCCCAACATCCCATCTATCCCCCTGGCAGTCGGAAGCCATTCCCCTTGTCCTGGCACTCCAGGCCCTTGTCCAGAGTCTCTGTCCATCTTTAGGCACTGGGAGGCCACAATTGGGTCACCCCAAAGCTTCTCCTGGTCTGGGGGGGCTGTACCCTGCCGAGAGGCTCCTGTGGTTTTTTGGGAGGGGTTTGTTCCTCCCCCTGACCCACCTGTATCCGTGCTGGCGGGTGCACTCGTTCCCCGTTAAATCCAGGATTTGGAGGCCCCGGGGCAGCTCCTCTGCCAGGACAAAAGGAAGCACAGAGGTGCTGAGGTGGGACCTGAGCCCCCACCCCCCACCCCCAGCCAAATTCCTGCTCCCCCAAACTCCCACAGCTCTTCACCCACTCCCAAGGCGACTCCCAGAGCAGCCCTGACACCTCAGAGCCGGGAAAACTGAGGCAGGGAATGTGGGAATGGGTATTCCACTCACTCACACACACACTGGCAGCCCCCAGCATCCCTTCCTGCTTCCCACCTGTGTCCAGCACCTGGATGTGGTTGTGGGACAGGTCCAGGGCACGCAGGTGAGGCAGGGGCTGCAGGTTCTCCACCCTCTGGATGCGGTTTCCAGCCAGGCAGAGGAACCTGGAGAGCACAGGCAGGGTGGGGGATGTCACAGCTCCCAGGGGCTGGAATTTGAGCCCCCTCCCTGGCCAAGGGAAGGTGGGAGCCCGTGGAAAGCCATTTCCCTGGGAGCAGGAGCTGCTGTACCTCAGGTTGGGAAAACAGCCCAAATTCTCGATCCTCTCAATTTTGTTCTGGAAAATAAAAATGGAAAATAAAATAGAAAATAGGAAAAAAATATATAACAACTTGTTTTTCTATGGCATGAAACAGTTTGGGATTTGGGGAGCATCCTGGGGGGTGAGGACATGGAGAGACCCCAAAATTCAGGAGGACCCTGAGGCTCCTCGTGTGGGTTCGGAAACACCAGGTGGCTGATCCCAGACCCTCACTGGAATTCCAGTGGGATTGGTATCAGATGGGAGGGAGACTCTTTTCCTTCCCCTCTGGACTTTGGGGAGGGGAGACAGGAGCAGATCTGGGGGGTTGTGTGTCCCCCCCCAGGCCCAGGGCGGGTCTCAGCTGCCCCACAGCTCCGCACCTGCTGCAGGTAGAGGCTGTGGATCCCTCCCTGATCCTGGAGCTTCCCGATGGAGGAGATGTTCTCCCGGTCCAGGCGGATGGTGGAGGGGGGCAGCAGCTCCATGGATCTGGAGGAAGAGGATGGGGTTGGGGGGGATGTGTTTGGGGTGCCCAGAGCCCCCTCCCTGCCAGCCCAAGGTCCGGGGGGTCCTCACCCGCTCCTGGTGAGGATGAGGCTGTCGCTGAGGGTCACTCCTGGGGATGTCCCCTCACGGTCTGTGGGATATCAGGGTGAGGGGCCAGGCCAGGGGGTGCAGCCCCTCCCCATCCCCTCCCTGCCAGGGAGGAGCCCCCACCCCACAGTTTCTCTCTCACCCCCACAAAGGGTCTCCTCCTGCTCAGCCATGGCAGGGGATGGCCTGGGGAGTCCTTGTCCCCTCCTCGTGTCCTCGGGTGGGTGTTGGGGAGGCCTGAAAGGGGAACGGTCTGAGGGAAAGGGAGGGGCAGAAACCTGCAGAATGGGAGGGGTCAGTGGGGACAGGAGCGTTGGGATGGCGGGGAATCAGAGCTGGGACCCCCAGGTGGGGCAGAGGGTCCCTGTAACCAGGGGGCTGTGGAGTCACCAAAGCGGAGCTGGGGGATCACGGGGACCAGGATCCCCAGCCTGGGGATCTCAGAGACTCCTGGGGGTCTCACCCATCCCCCGGGACCGGTCCCGGGGGTTCGGGGGCTCCGGTTTGGGGCTCAGGGACCCCCGGGCCGCGCAGGCCGCGCTGTGGCGGCGCCGTTGCCATGGAGACCGGGACACGGGAAGCGCGCGGGCCTCCAGCTTCCCACAAGGCCCTGCGCGGCACGGCCAAGATGGCGGCGCTGAGCGGAGGGACCGGGCTGGCTGCGAGGTGAGGGAAGGGCAGCGGGAATGGGAACGGGAGCTGGAAAGGGGCTGGGAATGGGCAGGGAAGGGGAATGGAGCGGGAATGGGGCAGGGAAGGGGAATGGGGTAGGGAAGGGGAACGGGAATGGGACAGAGGAAAGGGATCGGGAATGGGACAGGGAAAGGGAACGGGAACGGGGCTGGGAGTGGGGCAGGGAATGGGAACAGGAGTGGAGCTGGGAATGGGAACGGGACAGGGATCGGGTATGGGGTAGGGACTGGGATCGGGTATGGGGTAGGGAATGGGATCGGGTATGGGGCAGGGACCGGGAACGGGGCTGGGAACGGGAACGGGGCTGGGAATGGCAATGGGAATAGGGCAGGGAATGGGAAAGTGAATGGGGCCGGAAATGGGGGTGGGAATGGGAATGGGACAGGGACCGGGAACGGGGCTGGGAACGTGAACGGGGCAGGAATCAGGATTGGGAATGGGGCAGGGAACTGGAATGGGAGTGGGACAGGAACAGGCACTGGGGAACAGGGACCTAGACTGGGGCAGGGATTGGGAATGGGGCAGGGAGTGGGAATGGGAAGGGGGCAGGGAGTGGGAATGGGAAGGGGGCAGGGAGTGGGGAATGGGGCAGGGGCTGGGAATGGGAAGGGGCTGGGAGCAGGAATGGGAAGGGCTGGTGCAGGGTGCCCTGGCCCAGCCCCGCTCCCCCCAGGCTGGCTGCCCGCGCTGCGGCTGGTCCGGCGCGGCTCCAAGGCGGTGACGCGGCACTGGAAGGCCATGCACTTCCAGCGGCAGAAGCTGATGGCTGTCACCGAGTACGTGGCCCCCCGGCCCGCCGTGCCCCCCCGCTGCCTCCCTGCGCACAGGGACGACCACCAGGAGGTGAGGAGGGGCCCACAGGGTCTGGGAAGGGGGGGTTCCCTCCATCCTGGAACACCAGGGACAGCCTGGCTGGAGCGGGTGTGACACCTTCCCGTGGCGGGTGATCCCCTTTTTTGGGATGCTGTGGGTGGCTGGGAGATGCCCCATCAGGTGCTGGGAACCAGGTGAGTCCCCATCCACCTCGAGATCCACAGGAACATCTCCTGATCCATGGGAGCACCTCGAGATCGGTGGGATCACCTCCCACCGGGAGCTGCCGGTTCTGGGTTGGGGTGTCCCAGCAGCCGTTCCCCACTCCCTGCATCCCTGTATCCCCGTGTCCCCTGGCCAGGAGGACGGCTACGTGCGGCTGCTGCGGCGGCAGGTGGAGCAGGTGTTCCGGAGCAGCCGCATGGTGGCCGTGTGCCAGTACAATTCCATGCCGGACGAGGACGTGGCCACCATGCGCCACTACCTGCGCAGGCACAACATCGAGGTCAAGTTCGTCTTCAACGAGGTGGGGCCCGGCCCCGGCGGGAAGGTGGAGGGGCACAGGTGCGCCCTGGGCTGCTCCAGGCGTCATTCCAAGGGGTTTTCCAGATCGTCCGGCCGGTGCTGGAGCAGTCCAAGTACAGGAACCTCCTCCCGCTCTTCGTGTGCCGCAACATCCTGCTGGTGAGCCCGGAGACACGGGCCAGGGAGATGCTGCGGGTGCTGAAGGGAATCCCTCAGGTCAACCTCCTGGGTGAGGCATTCCCTGCTCCCCAAATCCCAGTGCTGGGGTCGGGGGGGTGCTCCTCCAGGGCTGGGAATGACTGCCCACACTGATGGATGGGATGGGATGGGATGGGATGGGATGGGATGGGATGGGATGGGATGGGATGGGATGGGATGGGATGGGATGGGATGGGATGGGATGGGATGAAGGGTTGGAGGCCTGAAGGAGCAAACAGTTCCTTCAGGAAATGCTCTGTTATCCCATATCCTGCTCTTTCCCAGGCGCCTGCATCGACGACACGATCCTGAGCCGGCAGGGAGTGGAGAACTTCGCCCGGCTGCCGTCCCTCGAGGCTTCCCAGGGGCAGACTGTGGGAGCCCTGGCCCTGCTGCCCTCCCAGACCTCATCCCTGCTCCAGCGCGGCCCCTCCCTCCTCACAGCACTCCTGGATGAGCACATCCGCCGGCTCCGGGACACGGGGGCGCCCGGGGAGCCCCCCCAGGAGCAGGGAAAAGGGAACCATTGATGCAGGGCCCTGGGACCGGCTCCTTCCCCCCTGTGGGAGCCCCTCAGGGCACAGGGAATGGCTGGCACCGAGCCCCAGGAACTGGCTGCTTCCCTGGATGTGGGACATGGGGGGAACCTGGGGAGCATCCCCCCAGCCTGGAATGCGGGAGATCAGACCGTGGGAATTGGCTCCTTCCCTGACTGTGGGACATGGGGGGGCCAGGGAGACCCTTCCAGACTAGGACACAGGGAATCACCAATGCTGGACCCCAGGAATCGGCTCCTTCTCCAGCTGCAGGACACAGGGAGCCCCCAGGGAGCCCCCCAGGGCACAGGGAATCACTGACTCTGGGCACTGGGAATCGGTTCCTTCCCTGGCTGTGCAGGAGGGGTGGATCAGGGATTTGGCACTGGGGCGGGACTGAGGGTCCTGCAGCCCCCCAGTCCCAGGGGGGGAGCCCTGGCCCTTCCCTTTGAGAATATTCCTGGGAATATGCTGGGGGTGTGATGGAAGGTCTCAGGATTGGCCAGAGGAGGAGGAGGAGCATGGGAGAGCCCCACAGGAGGGTCTTGAGCACTCCAAGCCCCCCAGAACAAGGATGAGGGGGAATGTGCTGTAACACTGATCCAGTGCCGTGTCCATTAAAGTGTCTGTGTGGAAATGCTGAAACCTCTCTGGGATTTTGGGGGAGGGGGGCGGTTCCTGCTCCTCGAGAGTGTGGGGGGAGGCTGGGGCTGCTTGGGGGGTCTGATGGAGCAGAGGAAAACAGAGCTGGGAGGGCTGGGTGAGGGAAATCCTGGGGTGGGAATGCCCTGGGACCCCCTAGGATTGGTGATCCTTGGGGACCCCCTAGGATTGGTGGTCAGTCCCGAGACCTCCATGGGCTGGTGGTCCGTGGGACCTCTGTGGGGTGGTGATCCCTGAGACCCCCACGGGATGCTGAGCCCCAAGACCCCCACGGGATGCTCAGCCCCAAGACCCCCATGGGATGCTCAGCCCCAAGACCCCCGTGGGTTGGTGATCCCCGGGACCCCCGCGAGGTGCTGCCTCTCCTGGGGACCACCCCACCCCCCGTGGGCCGCCCCTTTTCCCGCGGGCTGGTCCCGGGTGGGAACTCCGGGGGTCCGCGACCGGAGCTGCCCCAGTCCCGTGCGGGGACCGCGGCTCTGCCCGCGCTCTGTGTCCCGGCGATCCCGGCGGCTCCGGTCCTCCACGGAGCAGGGGGCAGAGCCGAGCGGCTCCGCACCGCCCTCCGTGTTCCGCTTCCTGCTGCCAGCGGGCAGGATGCGACCGGTCCCCGCCGCCCGCCCGCCGCCCGCCCAGGTGAGCCCCGGGGGTGGCACCGGGGATGGAGACCCCCGGGGGCACCGGCACGGCCCCGGTGCGGTGCGAGGGGTCGGTGCTGACCTCCCGCAGCACCTGCGGGGCTGGGCAGGGGAGGGGATGGAGCTGCGGGGGAGACCCCCGGTGTCCTCCCCTCCGAGCTGGGGGGCGCGGAGCCGCGGTCACCCGTGCCGTGGTTATGTCTCGGTGCCGTGGTTATGTCTCGGTGCCGTGGTTATGTCTCGGTGCCGTGGTTGTCTCTCGGTGCCGTGGTTGTCTCTCGGTGCCGCAGCTAGCGGTGCCACGGTGGTCTCCAGCACCGGGGCTTGGCCGCCCTCCCAGGGTTATCCCAGGATCAGCAGCAGCCAGGACAGGGTGCCCTGTCAGGGGCAGCGCCAGGGGGGATGGCAGGGCGGGGGGGAACTTCCCTGTGGCTCAGTAAGCGGGAAGGGCAAAGGGAACACTCTGCCGGGGTTTGCAGGGGTCATGGCCTGGCTCGGGGGTGCCAGGACGGAGCGGGGTTGATCCTGGTCTTTGTACCGGTGTCACCCTCCTGGCTGTGCCCCCGCTGTGGGGTTGCCCCGTGGTGCCCAGTCCATGGGGCGTCGGGGCTGGACTCTGAACCCGGAGCGGGCGGCGGAGCCGAGATAAGGCCGGGGGGGGTCAAAGGCTCCGTGTCACGCAGAAGTTTCTGGGTGCCCGTGGCAGTGACATGCAGGACTCCCTGCTCCCGGGGGGCAGGGGGACCCCCACCACCCCTTGACCCCACGAGGGCCGGGCTGAGGAGGGTGCAGAAGCCCCCCTGGGATCCCTGACCTGCCTTCCTCCCCTGGCAGCGGCTCCCGCCGTGAGGGCCGAGCTCGGACCCCCATCCTGCAGGACGGACGGGAGGGGGGGCTCAGCCCGGCCCCCCCTGCTCAGCAGCCATGGGCAGCCACGAGAAGGACCCGTCCTCCCCAAAAAGAGCCCTGTCCCGCTCCAACAGCACCGTGTCTTCCAAGCACAGCAGTGTCCAGCAGGTTGGAGGGGTTTGGGAGGGGCTCAGTGGTGCCCACGGGCTGACCGGGGGTGCTGTGAGGCCTCGGGGGGCTTCTCAGTGTGACCCCCAGGCTGACCCCCATCCCTGCAGGGCTCAGAGAGCTGGGAGGTGGTGGAGGAGCCTCGTGCACGGGGCAGCCCAGGGCAGGAGCTGCAGAGGCACGAGGGGTACCTGCTCAAGAAGAGAAAATGGCCCTTGAAGGGTTGGCATAAGGTAACGGGCAGAGCTGGCACCAGGAGCCGTCACCTGGCTGGTCCTGGCGCGATTTGGGCCCCTGGGAAGTGGGGCTGCAGGGACTGCTCTCTGCTCCCCACCAAAAACCTTCCCTCTCCATCCCCAGCGGTACTTTGTGCTGGAAAACGGGATCCTGAAATACTCCACCACCCGCCAGGACGTGAGTGTGTGCTGGGGCTGTGCCCTGTGGGCCCAGGGCAGGGGAGACCCCCGTGGACCCCCTCAGGAAGGGGGGTCTTCCCCCTGACAGGCGTCCCTGGGCTCCCCCAGGTCCTCAAGGGCAAACTGCACGGTGCCATCGATGTCCGTCAGTCCGTCATGTCCGTCAACAAGAAGGCGCAGAGGGTCGACCTGGACACGGAGGAGAATATTTATCACCTCAAGGTGCCGCTGGGGGCCAGGGTGGGCTGGAAACAGAGTTGGTTGTGTCAGGTTCTGTCCCCCCACCAACTCACCCGTGTCGCCCAGATCAAGTCCCCGGAGCTGTTCTCCAGCTGGGTGAGCAGCCTCTGCAGCCACCACCACGGGGACAAGCCCTGTCCCATGGCGGGTCCCGGGGGCAGGACCCCCACCAGCACCCAGGTGGGTGACACCTCAAGGTGACAGCACGAGGCAGGGTCTGGGGGGGGCTCCTGATGGCAGTGCCCCCTTTTCCCTGCTTGCAGGGCCAGTGGACGAGGATCCTGCCCTCGGGCAGTGCCCCTGCCCTGTCCACGCTGGCCAGCTCCCAGGACAAGGTGAACGCCTGGCTGAAGGACAGCGAGGGGCTGGAGCGCTGCTCGGCCGGTGAGCGGGGCAGGAAGGGGCGTGCAGGGCAAGGGGGGGTGCCCTGTGCCCCCTCCCTGACTGTGTGCCCCCTCCCTGACTGTGTGCCCCCTCCCTGACCCTGTGCCTCTGGCAGAGCTGTCGGAGTGCCAGGCCAAGCTGCAGGAGCTGACGGGGATGCTCCAGAACCTGGAGGCCCTGCACCGCATCCCCTCGGCCCCGCTCATCTCCGGCAGCCAGGTGAGCTGGGATGGCAGCACATGTGGGGCCTGAGCATCCCCCCCTTTCCTGCTCCAGCCCCCTCCTCTCCCCCACAGCCCTCGGCCGCCACGGAGAGGCCGAAGAAGGGCCGGAGGACCACCAAGATCTGGTGCACCCAGAGCTTTGCCAAGGACGACACCATCGGCAGGGTGAGGGTGAGCTGGAATCCCACCGAGCTCCGCTGCTGCTGCTGCTGGGGGGATGGACCCCCCCAATCCCCAGTCCCTCGCTGACCCCCGTGTCCCCCCCAAGGTGGGCCGCCTGCATGGCTCCGTCCCCAACCTGTCCCGCTACCTGGAGTCCTCGCAGAGCCAGCTGCCCTTCGGCCTCCCCCCGGAGTACACGCAGCTGCAGCGCAGCTTCTGGGTGCTGGCCCAGAAAGGTGGGATGGGGCTCAGCCCCGCCGGGGGGTCCTGGCAGGTGTTGGGGTGCCGTGACACAGCCTGACCCCTGCCCGTGTCCCCCGGCAGTGCACGGCTCGCTCAGCAGCGTGGTGGCCGTGCTGGTGGCCGAGAGGGCCCGTCTGGAGGAGATGCGGCAGGCGCTGGACCGGCAGGGCCCGGCCCCGCGCCCCGGCAGCGCCGCGGTGAGCAATGAGGGGGCCGGGCAGCGCTGCCCTGCTCGGGGCAGGGCTGGGGTGCTGCTTTTGGGGTGCTGTGGGTGCAGGGGGGGTCTCAGCCTGGCGCTGGGCTGGTGACCCCCTGACTGTCAGCCCCGTCCTGGCTGGAGGGGAACATTTGGGGGGGGTTGGCTCAGCCTCCCCCTCCCTCCACAGCCCACCCTGCGCCGCTTCCACTCCCTCTCCGTCTCCTCCGACACCACCCTGGATTCCTTCGCCTCGCTGCACTCCGATGAGGTCAGAGGGGTGGGATGGGGTGGGGTGGGGGTCTGGGCAGGCCCCCCCAGGCTGAGGGGCTGGGCTGAGGTGGTGGCTGTCCCTGCAGCCCGACGCGCTGCCCGCCAAGGGCCGGGAGCAGCAGCTCTCCAACCGCAGCATCGTCTCGCTGGCCGACTCCCACACCGAATTCTTCGACGCCTGCGAAGTCTTCCTGTCCGCCAGCTCCTCCGAGAATGAGGTGGGGGGTCTTGGGGTGGGCTCTGCTGGTGGGTGTGCTCTGCTGGTGGGGGGCTCTGTGGACCCCCCTGCCACCTCTCGCTGCTCTGGGTTCATCTCTCCCCTCTCTCTCCCCTGTCCCACCTCATTAGCTGCCCCCCCAGCTCCCCGTAGTGCCCCCAGCCCCTGTATCGCCCCAGCCCCCGCAGCCCCTGGCTCCCCTGTTCGGGGTCTCTGCTCTCTCTGAGCCCGGTGGTGGGGGCCGGGTGCTACCAGAGCCCCCACCACTGGTCCCCCGCCGGCACCACCCCTCCCCATCCCAGGATCCCGGGTCTCATCCCATCCTTCCAGGGAGGCCCTTCCCGCTAACCCCCCTCCCACCCCCGCTGTGGGGCACCCCCAATTCCCCGGGACCCTCGAAGCCGCCGACAGATCCCTGCACCCCCTCAGCCCTCGGACGACGAGTCGTGCGTCAGCGAGGCCCCCACCAGCATCTGCGAGGAGGGCACCGAGCCGGGGGTCTGGGCCGCCCCTGACAGGTACGGGGAGGGGGAGCACCGGGGAGGGGGACAGCGGGGGTGGGAGATGGCTCCATCCCACTGCCTGGTGTGCCCAGCAGGAGCGGAGCGCCCGGGGGCACCGTCGGAGCCGCCGCCACCGCCGGTGGAGCTGCCGGGGCCGGACCCGCGGCGGCGGAGCCGGTTGCCCGCGCCCCCCGCGCCCTCGGGGGACGTGAGCCTGTGGGGGCTCCTGCGGAGCAGCGTGGGCAAGGACCTGTCCCGCGTGGCGCTGCCCGTGCAGCTCAACGAGCCGCTGAACACCCTGCAGCGGCTCTGCGAGGAGCTGGAGTACAGCGCGCTCCTCGACCGCGCCAGCCGCGCCAGAGACCCCCGGCAGAGACTGGTGAGCTGGGGGACACCGGGGACACGCCGGGGATTGGGGGCTCAAGGGATGTGGGGGTAGGGGGGCTTAGGGCCAGGGGGGACTAAGGGGACGTGGAGGGTCTTGAGAACATGGAGGGACTTGGGGAGGTTTTAGGGGACTGAGGGGGCACAGAGGAGCTCGAGGACGTGGGGGGACAGGAGAGGTTGAGAATTTAGGGGTCTCAGGGACATGAGGGAGCTCAAGGACTTGGAAGGACTGGAGGACTTCAGAGGAGCTTGAGGACACGTGGGATCTGTGGGAACAGGGCAGGGCACAGGGCCGGGAGGGAACTGGGGGGTGGGTGGCTGTCCCCGGGGTGGGTGGGTGGCTGTTCCCGGGGTGGTGGCAGCAGCGTGGTGCCTGTGGTGCCAGGTGTACGTGGCCGCCTTGCCGTATCTGCCTACGCCTCCACCTACTACCGGGCGGGCAGCAAACCCTTCAACCCCGTGCTGGGGGAGACCTACGAGTGTGTGCGGCCTGACCGGGGCTTCCGCTTCATCAGCGAGCAGGTGGGCACTGGGGGGGGCACAGGGAGGCTACGAGGGGGACACGGAGCTGGAGGGGGCACTGGCACATCCCTCTTGTCCCACCCCAGGTCTCCCACCACCCTCCCATCTCCGCCTGCCACGCCGAGTCCGACAACTTCATCTTCTGGCAAGGTGAGCACCCAGGAGGATGTTGGGCAGTGGGAGGTCTCCTCCCTGAGTGTGGGGATCCAGGGAGGGTCTCACCACCTCCCACCCCCTCCCCAGACATGAGGTGGAAGAACAAGTTCTGGGGCAAGTCCCTGGAGATCGTCCCCGTGGGCACCGTCAATGTCCAGCTGCCCAGGTGAGATCCCGGCCCCGCTGGTGGGCCCCCACACCCCCGGGACCCCCTGCCCTCCCTCCCTCCCTGTCCAACGAGGGCGGTGCCCGCAGGACCGGGGACCACTACGAGTGGAACAAGGTGACCACGTGCATCCACAACGTGCTGAGCGGACCCCGCTGGATCGAGCACTACGGGAGGTGCTGATCCGCAACACCCGCGACGCTCCTACCACTGCAAGCTCACCTTCTGCAAGGTGTGCCCCCTGCCCCTTCGCCCCCGGGCCCCACCCACCCCATAGCCCCACCCTCCCACCTGCCCTGGCTCCACCTCTCTGCACTGAAATGGCCTGGCCCCGCCCCTTCACCTGCTAATTAATATTAATTGTGTTATTGCTCCACCCCTTTCCTGGTCCTACCCCTGCTTGTGGCCCTGCCCTTTCCCAGTAGCTCCACCCCCTTAGTGCCACACCCTTCTAGGACCCCTCCCCATCACTCGTGGCCACACCCTTTCCCAATAGCCCCCTTTCCCCCAGTCCCCCCGGCCCCCTGCCCACCTCCCGGTGGCCGCAGGCCCGGTACTGGGGCACGGGGGCCAACGAGGTGCAGGGGGCCGTGCTGAGCCGCAGCGGGGCCACCGTGGAGCGCCTGGCCGGGAAGTGGCACGAGGGGCTGCACCGCGGGCCCGCCCCGGGCCAGTGCGTCTGGAAAGCCAGTAAGGACCACCCTAGGGGGGGGGGGGGTTGGTTACCCCGCACCAGGGGGTGGTCTCAGCGCCGTGCCCCCTCTCCTGCACAGACCCCATGCCCCGTGAGCACGAGAGGAATTACGGCTTCACCCAGTTCGCCCTGGAGCTGAACGAGCTGACGCCGGAGCTGCGCAGGGTCCTGCCCTCCACGGACACGCGGCTGCGCCCCGACCAGCGGTGAGTGGGCCCTCCCGGCGCCGGGAGCGGGGCGGGGGGGATGCTCTGAGGCCACCCAGCTGGTCACAGCCCCGTCCTGCCCCTCCCACAGGTACCTGGAGGAGGGGAACATCCCGGCGGCCGAGGCGCAGAAGCGGCAGATCGAGCAGCTGCAGCGGGACCGGCGCCGCGTCATGGAGGAGAACAACATCACCCACCAGGCGCGCTTCTTCAGGTCTGGCTCAGGGCAGGGGGCTGGGAGAGTCATGGGGGAGCGGGATGCCGGGCTCTCAGGGAGTGGGCAGGGCCCCTGGCAGTGCTGAGGGCGCCCTGTGGCTCAGAGGAGTGCGGGGCTCTTACGGGGTGAGGAGGCTCCTTTCGGGATCCTGGGGACACCCCGTGGCTCAGTGGGATGTGGAGCTCATAGGGAACTGAGAGAACCTCTAGGAATGCTGAGGGCACCCCATGGCTCAGGGGGTCTCAGGAAATGGGTAAAACCCCATCAGGAAGTCCCAAGGCCACCCCAAACACGCCCCCCCACCCCATCCCCAGGCGGCTGACAGATGCCAGTGGCAAGGAGTCGTGGGTCACCAACAACACCTACTGGAAGCTGCGCCTGGACCCCGGCTTTGCCCACCTGGACAGCGCAGTGCTCTGGTAGCGACCCCCCCCAGGGCTCTGAGACTCCCCCAGCTCATCACAGCAGTGGTGCCCAGCAGTGGGGCTGGTCCCCCCAGCACTAGGGGGGTGCAGTGTCCCCCCCCACCCTCTCCGAGCCATTTTGCTGGTGTTTAAATAAAACTGTGATATAAAAGGGGGGGGGTAATGACCCCTACCCCTCCCCCTGACCCGGGGCAGAGCCTTGGGGACAGCTGGGGCACTCTGGGGCAGGGGCTGGCAGTGCCCCCCTGCCCTGGGAGCACAAGATGCCTGGGGAAGGGGGGAAATGGGGTGCACCCGCAGGCGGGAAGACCCCTCTGCCCCCCTCTCCCCCAGACTGTGCCCAGGGGCTGCTCTAATAAAGGCTGTGAAGAGTTGGGGTGTGCAGAGAGCTTCCTTCCCCCCCCCACCCCGAAACACCCCCCGGGGCTCAGGATCCCCCTACCATCCCAGGAAGGGGGAGGGCACCCTTAGCCCCCCCTCCCCGTGCCTCAGTTTCTCTCCACCACACACACACACACAGAGCTGAGCAGGGTCCCCACAGTGCCCCCTTTATTGCGATATGCTGCTGCCCCCCCGCCCCACGCCGGGCACGGGGGGGGGCTCAATAAATACTTCAGCATTACCCCCCCAACCCCCTTGCCCTTAAAAACCACCGACAACAACAACAACAAAAACTCCTCACCATCCCCCTGCTCCTCCTCGCCCGCCCCTGCGGCCCCACCGGGGTGGCACCAGGGGCTGATTGTCTGGTTGAGCTCCCTCCCGCTCGAGCCTGCCCAGGATATGGGTGTTAAATAGCGGGGGGGAGGGAGGGTGGTGGGCACACAGGACCCCTTGCAGTGCCCAGGGAGGGGGGCTCAGTTGCCATAGAAGCCGTAGTAGCCCCCGTCGGCGAGCGGGTCCTTGTCGTAGAGGTCTCCGTTGCGGGGCGGGGGGGAGCTCTCGGTGCTCGAGGGGTAGGGGGACACCCTGCGCCGTTTGCACTCGTACAGCCCCGAGTCCGACGAGTCCCCCGAGGCGGGGGCGGGGGGCTCGGGGGCCCAGCCCTCCACCTCCTTGCCCTTCTCGTCGCGGGGCTCCCGGTACCAGCCCAGAGCCCCGGCGCTGCCCTTGGGGCCGTACTGCCCGGGGCTCCAGCCCCTGTCACTCGAAGCCCCCCGGCCCCTCGGGGTAGTAGGGCAGGGGGTGCGGGGTGGGCGGCAGGGCGTAAGGGTCTCACCCGTGAGGGCACCAGTTTGCCCCTCCCGTAGCCCCCGCCGCAGCCGCCGTACTCAGCGCGCCGGCGGCGGGGGCTGCTGGGGGAAGTACCAGTGGGGGGTCCTTGGGGGCAGGGGCAGAGGGGGAGCCCCGGTCCCCCGAAGAAGCGGCCGGGGCAGCGGGTACTGCTCGGGCAGGAAGGGCTGGAAGCGGGGGGCTGGCAGGAGCTGCTGGCAGCCGGGCCCCTCCGGCGGGGACGGGGTGAGGCGGTCGCTCTCCGAGGCCGTGTACATCCTGGGGGGCACATGGGGGGGGCTGGGAGGTGCCCTGCTGCCAGCTGGGGCAGGGGGGGCACCGGCTGGAGGGTGGGGGGACACTCAGGACACTCACGAGTCAAAGTTGTCCCGGAATCCTTTGGCGAAGGGGTTGTGGTCGATCTTCAGCTGGGTGATCTGGGGGGGTAATGTGGAGGTGGGGGGGCTGCTGACAGGCTGACCCCTGCCAGGATGTCCCTCCCGTCCCTCTCCCCTCGAACAACCCCCACTGCACCAGAATCCCACCCTTTCCCAGCACGGGGGGTGCCGGGAGGGGGCTACTGAGATGCTGAGGGGGTTCAGGAGTGGGTCCTGGGATGCTGAGGGGATCCAGGGGATGCTGGGAGGGTTTCTGGGATGCTGAGGGGATCCAGAGGATGCTGGGAGGGTTTCTGGGATGCTGAGGGGATCCAGGGGATGCTGGGAGGGTTTCTGGGATGCTGAGGGGATCCAGGGATGCTGGGAGGGTTTCTGGGATGCTGAGGGGATCCAGGGGATGCTGGGAGGGTTTCTGGGATGCTGAGGGGGCTCAGGGGGTGCAGAGATGCTGCAGACAGGAGCGTTGGCGGATGGGGGGCCCTGGGGGGATGCCCTGGGGGTTCTGCTGATGCTGAGGACACCTCAGAGGGTGCTGGGGGGTCACCAGGGCCTGCTCCTGGCGGGTCACTGGGATGATACGGGAAGGTGTCCCTGGTTTCTGCGACCCTGGGAGGGCGCCGGGGAGGTCGCTGGGGTTCCTGTGCTGCTGGGGGGCCTTTTTGGGGGGTGTCCCCAAGCCGGGGACCGGCAGGGGGGTCTCGTACTCACATCAGCGTTCTGGTAGGCCGTGACGGCGATGAACTGCGTCTCGGGGAAGGCGAAGGTGTGGGTGTGTGGGGAGGGGTACCCGTCCTCCCCCTCCCCTTCCTTCACCTCCGTCACGTGCAGCCGGGGCTGGTACTTGTGCAGCGACTGCAGCACGATCATCTGGGGGGCATAAAGGGGGGCAGTGGGCTGTCAGGGAGGGGTCACGGGGGGGGATGTGGCCCAGCCTGGCACGGCGGCGGGACCCTCACCCACCTGCCCGACGTTGTTGGACGCGCCCTTGTTGTTGGTGAGCTTGAGCTTCCCGAAGGAAACCTCCTGCCGCATCCAGTGCGCGCCCGTGTTGGGAGAGTCCGGGTGCAGGTACAGGCGGTTCCCTGCGGACAGGGGGGAGCGGGGAGGGGGTTACCCTGCACCGTGAGGAGGATGAGGAAGGGGATGACGGGGTGGGGGGGGCCGTACCTGGCATGTTGCCCTCGGCTTTCCCGCACTGCACCCACTTGCCGCCCTGGTAGCGCCAGTGGTGCTGGTCCACCAGCACCACGTCCACGCACACGCTGTAGTGGGCCACGGGGTTGAGCCCCGACAGGTTGAAGCTGAGGAAGGGGAACATGCGCCTGGGGAGGGGACAGAGGCACAGAGACACCGTCACCCCCGGCCAGGCCGCTGGCTCACGGTGTTGGGGGGTGATGGGGAAACCGAGGCAGCGCGATGCCCACCCCCCCCTTCTGAGCCCGGCTGGGTGCCCGTGAGGAGCTGAGTGACCCCGGCAGCTGGGGGATGCTCTCGGGGCCCATTCCCCCCCTCCCGGTATCTTCCTCCCCCTCCCCAAGCACCTTCCGGATCGGAAACCAACACCGCTGCTATTTCGGGCTGGGCGCCAGCCTGCGCCAAGGGCAGGAAGGGGACAGGATGGGACGGCTGGGGGGGACCCTGTGGTCACGGGGCTGCAGCTGCCACCCCCCCAGAGGGGCTGCACCCCCCTGTCCTCCCCCAGCCATCCCCCCAAATCCTGGCTCTGGGGTGGGAGATCTCCCATCCCCGCTCCCTGTCCAGTCCCTCACGTCCATCACTGACCCCGTCACCCCAGCTCGGGTTCACAGTGGGACCTCCACCCATGGGGAGGGGGTCGTGGTTCAACCCCCACCCTCTCCATAGAACTTGGCTCTTAGACCATGGAATTTTGGCAACTTTTGGAGTCTTAGTGGCCAGAGCTGGAAACCAGCCCCGACCCCGCTGCCCGACCACGCCATTAATGTCACCCACGTTAATGAACCACCACTGGAGCCCCCTCAAACACACGTGGGGGGAACGGGGACCCCCAACTCTGCCAGGTGGGTGAGATACACGTGGGATGAGACGGGATTCATCTGCAAAGAGGGCAGAACCTCTCCCCAGGAGCAGAGCGAGGGGCTGGGGGCACACGGAGCTCCTTGAGCCGGGCAGGAGAAGGGGGGGGGATCCAGCGCTGCCCCCGCAGGAAACGGGGCTCGGGCAGTGCCACGGCACCGGGGAAGTGGAATGCAAAGGGTGGCGGAAAGAAAAGTCGGCGGGTGCCGCTGACTCAAAGTTGCCCTTGGGGGAGAGGAGGGGAATAGAAAAAGAAAGAGAAGAAAAAGGGGGAAAGAGAAAGAGAAAGAAGAAAAGAAGAAGAAAAGAAAATGAAATAGAAAAAGAAAAAAAAAAAGAAAATCAAAAAAAAGAATGAAGATTAAGATTAAAGTTAAGATTAAGGTTAAGAAAAAGAAGAAAAACAAGAAGAAAAATGAATGAAAGAAAAAGAAGAAGGTGAAGAAAAAGAAGAAATTAAAAAAAGAAGGATAATAAGACAGGAAGAATAAAAAGATAAAGAGGAAGATAAAGAAAAAAAATAAGAAAAAGAAGAAGATAAAGAAAGAGATTAAGAAAAATAGAATGAAAAAGAGAAAGAAGTAGAGAAAGCAGCGCTCGTGCTGAGGAGCTGCACACGTGCTCCCCAGGCCCGACACGGGCGATGGTCCTGCACATTCCGGGGTCCCTCGGAGCCCTCACAGACCCCGTCCCTCCTTTCTGTATGCCTAAAACTCCTCGGGAGCGGGACAGCCGCGGCTGTGCCGAGGACCGGGCGGTTCCTGCCGCTGACAAAAGCTGCAGCCGCATTAAAAACCACCTCGGTGCCGCCGCGCTCCGGGCACCCGAACGCCGAGCCCGGGGCTGGTTTGACCGCGGGGCGAGCCCCAGCCTGGGCGCTGCACCAGCCCGAGCTGCTGCAAGGAGCAGGGAGGAAAGAACCGGCCTTTTTTCAGTTGTTTTTTTGTTTTTTTTCTTTCTCTTTTTCTTTGCTCCGTTCGGAGCCCTCGAGCCCCCGCTGGCAGCGCCGCAGCGAGCGCGGCTCTGTGCTTCACACACCGCGGGGAAACCGCACGGCCCGGCCGGGCACGCCAGGGTGGGGGCAAGGCCCGAAACCGCGCTCGCCTCGCCTTTATTTTTAAATCCCCCAGCTCTCGAGCTCCCGGGGCTGCTGCTCGGGCAGCACTCGGCAGTCCTGGGTTTGGTCACTGCGGTTTGGGAGGTGCCCCAAACCCCATTCTAACCCCCCCCCGGGCCCACCCCAAAAGCTGATGGGCACCGGGCTTTTCAGCCTTTGTACTTTTGTTTCTGGGCTCTGGGCGCGCCCCGAGGTTTGTCCCTGAATGAACCTTCCCCACGGGGGGCCGAGGGGCACACGGGGACATAGGGATGGAGCCAGGGGACACAGCGGCACATCCAGGGTGTCACCTGGTGACACGGGGATGGAGGCACAGGGAGCGAGTCCGGGATGACCCCAGGTGGAAGGAAAACCTGGAGGTCCAGGAGCACAACTCCCCAGACAGTTGTGCCTCTCCTACCTCCCCCCACAACCCCTGGCAGCGCATCGAGGGGGGGCTGCGGCTTCCTGAGCCGCCTCCTCCCCCCCGACGGCAGCGCCGTGACCGCAGGAGCCGCCACGGCCGCGTGGGAGATGGAGCAGCCCCCGCTGCACGGCTGGGTGGCACGGTGGGGTGGTGTGGATACTGGGCACGGCACAGTGACACGGCACAGGGGTGTGGAACGGCTTCTGGAAATGGCACGGCTGCATGGCTATGCGTGGCACGGTGACACGGAATGGTGGCACAGCAAAGCACGATGCGGTGACATGGCACAGGGGCACAGTGGCACGGCCTGACTGCTGGACATGGCTCAGTGGCACAGAAATGGTGGCAGCGTGGCACGGCTGCACAGCAGTGGGTGACATGGTGTGGTGGCACACCAATGCATGGCACGGTGACAAACCCAGCCTATGTGTCCCCAAAGCTGTCCCGTGTCCCCTTCAAAGGCAACACCAGCCCCGCATCCCCAGAGCCCTCCCCGTGTCCTCTCCGAAGGCAAGGCCAGCCCTCGTGTCCCCAAATGCAAAGAGAGTCCCTGCACCCTGCAAAAACATCACTGAGCGCCCTTCAAATGCAAAGGCAGCCCTTATGTACCCCCAAAAGACAGGGCCACCCCCTGTGTGCCCCCAAAATGCAGAGCCAGCCCTGGTTTCACAGCAGAGCCCCACGGTAGGAATTCCCCGGGCCCGCTGCAGTCAGGGCACCGGCGAGTCCTTGGGGGTTTCCAGAAATCCTGCCCTGGCTGAACCCCGAGAGCCGTGGGGGCCTGGGAAGGATGGGGACCCACACGGAAAACCAGTAGGAAATTATCTTTGGGGGAAAGACTGGGGGTGGGATGGCGTGGCAGGGGGTGGGATGGCATGGGATGGTGTGTTGGAGCCGGGGTAGAGGGGCAGGAGAGGGCAAAAAAGACACCAGCAGGGTTAAATCCCAGCGCCTGAGCAGGTTCATCCCAGCACCACCATCTCCCACCCACCCTCAGCTCTCTCTGTGGGTCCAAGAAGGCTGCAGCCCAAGGACATCGGTGCTGAGGGACCAGCGTAGCCCGGAGAGATGAGGCACCTGCACCAACAGCAGGAAGAGAGCGTGATCCCTGCCCTGCCCCAGAGCCCCCAGCCTGGCAGATCCCCACTCTAGGGGGCTCACATCCCCCTGGGGTCCCCATTTTGGGGCTCCCGTCCCCCTCGAGCCCCACACTGGGGTTTTTCCTGTGTCTCAGCAGGGCTGCAGCCCGGCCCTGCACGCCGAGTTTTGCAAGAGCAGCTCGGGGTTGGGGGAAACGGATGTTTTGTGGCTCTGAGTTTGACACCTCCACAGGCTGGGTTTGCCATGAGCCCCCTTGAGCACAGAGCAACCCACCCTCCCCATCCCCTGCACCTCTGCAGGTGCCCTAGGAAGGGATGGAGCTGGGAACAGAGCCCCCAAATCGCCTGGTTTCAGGCTGGGAGCCGGTGGCAGCAGGACAGAGCCGGTGGGATTTCGGGGCTCACCCCATTCTCCAGACCCTCAGCACCAGGTCCTGATGCTGCCCCAGCACCCGCCACAACTGCTGGGGCAAGAGAGGAGGGAAGAACGGGAATTTCAGGCAGTGTTTCTGGAAGAACTGGGGGATGGCATGCTAGGAACAACCATTTGGGGTGCCCTGCCACCCCCACCACCCCCTCAGCCGGCGCTGGGGACACGTCACCCGCTCCGTGCTTCGCTCCGAGCAGCCCCGAGCCCGGCGGGGGAAGCCAGGCCTGGGCAGGGCCGTGGCAAACCAAGCGGCCCTAACGTGTTTAGACTTCCAACACATTAAGCAGGTTGGTCTCAGCATCGAAGTGACACCATCTGTCTCGGCCGAGGGAGGGAAGGGGCGAGGGCGCTGCCGGCGGCCCCGGCGCTGGCCAGAAAGAGCCCCCCTGGGCGGAGGGATGGCAGCGGGAGGGGAAGGGGGGGGTGTCAGCACGGCAGGAGGGGCTGGGGGAGTCTCTGCCAGCTGCTGAGCTCACAGTGAGGGGTACTGCCCTGCTTTCCCCTCGGTGTGCATTTTTGGCAGCCCCTCGGGTGGCTGAAGCCCCATGTGCGGCCCTGCCGTGCTCCTGTTCCCCTCCTCACCCCAGCACGATCCCACTGAGGCCCCCAAACTGCAGCCTGGGGCCTGGCTCCCCCCACCCACGTCACCCTGTGGGGCCAAAGGATGGGCTCAGCATTTTGGGCTCCCCTTGCTCCAAGTTGCAGCAACTCCACGGCCCCAGAGGGCCTGTGTCACACCCGGCCCCTTCCAGGCCCCCCAGACAGAGGTGGGGGGAATTTTCATCCCCCAACCTTGTCCCAGTCCTCCAACTCACACCCTGTGAACATCCCAGGCTGGAGGCAGCACGGAGGGGACAGAGGATGCCCAGCCATGGCATCACCAAGGGTGCTTTGGCACCCAGGACGTTGCCAAAATGCTGCCCCTTCCCCGGGCACATGGGGGGCAGTCAGCCCCTGCCTGCCCCACTGAGGAGGGGGGCATTTCCAGCATGGAAATGAGTAGAGGGGGTGTCACCCACCCACCCACAGTGCCGTGGGATGGCTGTGGGCTCTCACTACTTGTTGCAGTGCCGAGCTCCAGATCCGGCCCGTGGGTTGAGGCCGGATAAGCGCTGCCTCCAGGCCCCCAGAACTGGCACCATCTCTGCCAGCTTCCTGACATGGGGGGTCTGGACCCCCCTGTCCCACCTGATAGGGGTGGGGACACTCCCCAGCCCCCTTTCTCCTTCCAACAAGCCTCAACTTCCATGGAAAACAAGACCAGGGAAGTCTGTTCTGCTTTGCCCCTCACACCCCATTTTTTACCTCTGCCCACACAGCAAGATGTCACCTCCCCAACCCACAGGGACAGGGGGGGCCCCTCTTACACACTCCACTCCTCCACTGCGCGGGCAAAGAGGGACCCCCAGACCCACAAACACCTCCCACACCTTTGGGGACATGAGGCAGAAACCTTCAGCCCCTCACTGTGCTGGCTCCCTCCCGGCCCATCCCATGGCCCCCCCTGGCTGTCCCACCCCCCTCTCTGCACCGCTGTGCCCACCCCGCATCCCCCGTGCCCTTATCCCTTTTCCTACACCGGTCCCTCACCATCTCTGGGGTCTTTGCGGGTCCCACTGCAGCTTCTCTCGGTCCCTCACCCTGATCTCCCACTGCTCCTCCTACAGTCCCCTGCCCCGCTCCCCTGCTCCCGGTCCGTCCCGGTGCGCTCCGGTCCCCTCCAGTCCCTCCCAGTGCCCCACCGGTCCCACCTCCCGGTGCCTCCCGGTTCCCGCCGCTCCCCCGGCCCGCTACATCCCCTGGATTCCCCCCCGATCCCACCCGGTGCCCCCGCTCACCTGCCCTGCTTGGTGATGATCATCTCGGTCTGGTGCTTGTGGAACTTGGCCCAGAGCGGGTAGTTGTTGAGCATCACCTGCACCTTCCCTGCCGCGCGGTACCCGGGCAGGGCGCAGAGCGGGGGGCACAGCGGGGCCCCCCCGCCGCCGAAACCGCCCTCCGCGCCCGCGAAACCCTCCACCGGGGCGGCGGGAGGCGGCGGCGCCCGGTAAGGCGGGCACGGCCCCAGGAACCTGCCGCCGAAGCCGCCGGGAGCGCCGTAAGGGAGCGGGGGGGCTCCCGGTTCCGCTGCCCCCCCATCACCGTAGTACGAGGCGGAGGTGTCCCGGGGGCCCGGCGGCTCCTTGGCGAAGGTGGCGGCGGCGCTGAGCATGGGGGCGGCGGGGCGGGGGGCTCCGGTGCCCGGCTCCAGCGCGCCCATGGACGGAGCGGGGGCGCCGGCCCCGCTCAGCCGCTCATGGGGGTCCCCGGGACGCGGAGCCGGGCGCCGCTCAGCGCTGCCCGCCTCGCCGGGCTCCCGCCGCCCCCTCCATGCCCGGGGGTCCCGGGGGGGTCGGCGACCCGCGGCGTCCCCGGAACGGCCAAGGGAAGAGGGTTAAAACACAAAGCCCTCAAAAAAACAGCCCGAAACTCCCGGAAAGCCCCAAAAATGCCGTCGGGGGTTGAGGGGCCGCCCTGTCCTGCTGCCGCTGTTGCCGTTGCTGCCGCCGGTGCCCTCACACGCTCCACCTGCCCATCCCCGTGGCACCCGCGCTTCTTATCCAAAGAAGCGGCTCCGCGAAGGGGAGCTCCGCCCTCCCCACCCCCACGGGGCGGCTCCCACCGGGGCGGGACGGGGCCCACGCGAGAGCGGGACACGCGGGGACGCGTGGGAAGAGATGCGGGACACGCTGGGGGACGCGGGGCACGGGGGAGTGGGGAGGTGGCAGGGATGGGGGGCGCCGGGGAGCCGGCACTGTGGGACCGTGGGACGTTGGCAGGGGAGGGGACAGGGGAGGGGACAGGGACACTGTGGAGGGCCGCGGGGACAGGGGATGGAGTGACCAGGGGGGTCACCTTCCCCCTCATGTTTTGGGGCTCTGAGGGGACACAAGGACTGGTTATTTCAGGTCCCCCAACACACTCTGGTGTCCCCACGGTCACTGGAGGGGTGGCACACTTGGGGACAGAGGTTTAAGGCTCGATCCCTTGTCCTTCCCTTTCCGCCTGTGCTGGGTTTGGGGTGGTCCGAGTTCCCTGGGGAGCCCGGACAGGCCGTGCCCACCCCTGAGCCCATTCCCATGCCCACCCCCCGTGTGCCCACCCCGAGGCCAGGCCTTCCCGGCACCTGCCCTTGACCCCACTGTGCCCGGGGAAGTCCCCGTGTCCCCTGGAGCCGTCACGGAGGCATTTGGCTCTGGAGTGGCCGCTTCCCCTGGCACATCCCCAGCTCAGCTCCCGTCAATACTTTCCATTCCCAGTGTGGCAGAGCTGGGAGGGTGGGGGACGGCGGGTGCCACCTCGTGCCCGTCACTCCCGCACCGCCTGGAAGGATGGGGACACTGCCACCCGCCCATGTGTCCCCTCCTGGGGTCCGGGCTCCTTCCCAACATCTGCAGGGCCCCTCTGGAGCTGGGGTTGGGAAGGGGAGAAAGGGGGATGTGGGTGTCTACCAAACCCACAGCTAAATCCCTTGGGATCCGGGGTCACGGGTGATGGTGCTGCCCGGAGGCAGTGGAAGCTGATGGGGACAGGGATAGGGATGGGGTCAGGAATAGGGATGGGTACAAGGATGGGGGTAGGAATGGGGACAGCTCTGCTTCCCCCACGGAGTGCTCCAGCTGTAGGGCAGGAGGAAATGGGGAGTTAAGGATGCCCGGGGTGGCCGTGGGGGGTGGATGGACAGAAGGACCCACATCCCCACGGTGGTGAGTCAGGCCCGGGCAGGCCCGGGGGTCTCTCAGGGGGTTGTGTATTGGCCCAGCAGACACAGCTTAGCAGCCACTGGGGCCAGCTTTTCACCACTAGCATCTCTCTGAGGGGTCCTGCCCTTCAATCTCTATGCAAAGCCCCCCCTGCTGACCCCCAGCACTCCCCCTCCACAACACCTTTCCGGTTCCCTGCCAGCTCTTCCCAGCCCCTAATCCCCTGGGAGTTACTGAGGGAGAGGCCTGGTGGGGGCTGGGGGGGTTATCAGTGGGGACAACATCCCACCTTTCAACTACCCCCACCTCCTTGGGCACCCCCAGCCTGCCAGGGCACTGCCAGCCTCTCCCAACCCATCCAACAGGAATCCTCCCCCCCCACCGAGTTCCCCAGCCAGAAAAAGAAGGAAAACAAGGAAATTTCCAGATTTTTTTTTTTTCACAGAGGAAAAATAAAGGCCAGAGGGGGGTTATGGTTGGGGGATGGGGGGAGAAGCGACTCATTAACAGGGGTTGGGGAGGGGAAGCAAGTGCTGCAGCTCATGTGCTCCCTGACGTCACGACGTGCTAATTCATTCCTGTTATACCATCGCCGGCGAGGATAAATTCACAGGGACACCCCCCCCGCTGTGGGATCAGCCAGCACGGCCACCCAGACGGGTGTCAGGCTCGCCAGTGTCCCCACTGCCCCCACAGCTGGGGACCTGCCACCTCCACCCCACGTGCCCCTGGCCCTGGCGGTGCCAGTCCTGGGTGGTGCCAGCAGCGGGGCCTGCCGGGGTGGGGGAGGAGTGTGACCCTGTCCCCAGGATGTCACGCCCTTGAGCGTCCCCCCTGCCAGGGTAAAGTGACACCAGAGACACTGGGAGACACGGCAGGACTCCTGGGGAGGTGGCTGTCACAAGTGTCCCCTCGCTCAGGGCCGGGAGGGACAGGAGGGCTGGGAGCCGTGTCCTGACCGTCACCTTGAACAGCCTCCAACAGCCCCGCTGGCCGGGACAGGGATGCTCCAGGACATCCCAGACACCTCTGGGACGTGGACAGTCCCTGAGCCAAGCGGCCTAAGCTCACCCCTCCCCAGCCAGGGGCATTTGGGGTCCGACCCCCTGCAGCAGCTCCGCAGCAGCAAAGCCGACCGGGTCTCCCCACCCGCAGGGCCCTTCCTTGGGGGCAGGAGCGCCGAGCCTTCCTTGGGGCCAAATTCCCCCTCCAAGCCGCGTGCCTCGGTGTCCCCTTCCACAGCTGGCTGATGCCAGACCCCACCTGGGACATCCGAGTGTCCCCGAGCGCGTGGGGCTGGCGGGGGCCGAGGGGCAGCATCGTGTGCCCACCGTGCCCGGTCCCTCCCGACCACCGCTCTGGTTTCCGGCACTCGCCCAACCCTGTCGCCCACAGAGGGCATGGGAGGAAGTGGCTCTGCGGCAGGATGTGCCCCGGGGCTGGGGACACACTTGTCACCTCACAGGCCACATCCCTCCCGAAGCCCCCGCGTCCCTCCCGTGCCCATCCCCGGCAGGATTCCCAGGCTTCCGAGGATCCCTGAGACAAGACCCGTGCCTCAGTTCCTCCTCCTGCAGCTGCAAGATGGAATATCCCCATCCCTGGGGTCTCCAGTGCTGGCATGGGAGTGGGGTTGGAGCCTTCATTGGGGGGATTGTTCTGGACACCCCCTGCTCCATGTCACCATCCTGCATCCCACTGCTCCTGGGCATCATCCTGCTGATCCTGGGACTGAATTCCCAGCAGAGATACTGGGCAGGAGCCCAGGGTGCAAGGCTGATGTCCCTAAACTGTCCCCAAGCTCTGGTGTCCCCACACCTCCCTCCAGCCCAGACCCCAGGCAGGTACCAGTGCTGCTGGGGAAGGATGAGGCAGGAATTTGGCTTCTGGGGACCGAGGGGAAACTTTTGGGGGTAGTTTTCTTAGTAAATGGCATTGTTCCTGTTTTCATTCTTAAAATGAGCACGAGGGCACCGGGCACCCACGGGGGCTAAATTTGGGCCCAGGAAAAACCAAAAATACTCCCCCCACCCCGGAGGAATTTGCATCTCTCTGCTGCTCGAAGGCAGCGCGGGGCTGAGCGGTTCAGGGAGCCATGAATGCAAACCACAGCGCTCCCGGGCCGGGCCAGCCACCTGCCACCCACCGGGGGACCCCCAGCCGGGGGACACATCCACCACCCCCCTGCAGCCACCCCCGGCCGGGAAGGAGCCACATCCCTGGTCCTCCCCCATCGCTGTGCCCCAGAGTGGAGTGATGCTGGTGAGCCCCCCAGTAGCCCACCCAGGCTCCCACCCTGCAGAAACCCCTCCTGTCCCACCATCAGAGCACCCCAAGCACCTTGTCCCCCTCCCAAAAAACGTGGCCAGGTCCCCCAGTCACCAGCAGTGTCCTCTGAGTCAGAGCGGGCAGGGAAATCAAGTCACAGGCGGTAGTGAGTGGGGAGCAGGCAGAACTTTGGGGTTTGGGGGGCTCAACCCCCGCCGTGGAGGGTCCCAACCCCCGTCCTCCCACGTCTCAACTCCTCAGCCCGCACCCCGGCACTGTCACCCTCCTCCTTCCTGCCCCGAACCGCCCGGCGCTGGCAGAGGCTGCCACGCTCCACCCCGGGCAGCCCCGCTTTGGGGGAGCCCCACGGGGGGCCCGCAGGGAAGGAGGAGAGCGTGGGGGGGGTGGTCATGGCGATCCCTTTCCCTGAACTCCCTCCCCGGTTGGTGGGACGATTCCTGAGCAGTTCCTGGAAGATGCTCAGCACCCCCGACCGCAGGACTCTGCAGAAGGGGGGCACCCAGGGCTGTCAGGGGTGGGCTGCCAGGGCCTGGCCAGGGCCAGCCGGGGGTGACAAGTCGGTGGCAGCTCCGGGGGGGGGCCCAGCGGCCGCGGGGAGCGGGGGGAGCGAGCAGACGGCTCCTTAATCTCGGGGAAGGAAGCAGCTCTGGTTACGGAGCTGCCCTCGGTGTAAAAGGAGAGCGACAGGAAGAAAAGTCATTAACATCGTTCCAGCCGCTGCCATCCAAAACCCTCCTGGTGCTGAGCCCCACGCCGCCAGCACCCGTGCCCCCCGTGCCCCGGTGCCCCCCGTGTCCCCTGCACCGCTGCCACCGCTGCCACCACCCCCCGGCCCTGGCGTTGGGTGGCGCGGGGGGTCCCGCCAAGAGCTCCGAGCCCCCTCCCTGGGGTGGTCCCACTCGAAGCCCCAGCACCCGGTGGGTCACTGGTCCCACCCGCGGGACCCACCCTGTCCCCCGGAGACCGACCCGCGGTTTAGCTCCGCTCCCTCCTCCTCTTCCTCGCCCCGGCCTTGGGAGCCTGTGTGGGAGGAGGCAGCGTGCGCGGGGCAGCTTCCCCCCCGTGTCCCTGTCTCGGTGTCACCGCGTCCGGGCTGTCACCGTGCCCGGGGTGCCACCGTGCCCCCCGTGCGTGGGGCAGAGGCACCAGGAGGGGATCGGTGGCTGCGTGGGTGTGCAGAAGGGCTGGGGGGCGTGCAAGGGAGCCTGTGTGTGAGTGAGGGGACACG